ACCACCAAAATTCAAACTTGATCTGTGTTTTGTGGTAATTAGCATTGTGTATAAGTTTCATAACATTTGGTTGAAGCAAACTAAAGTTAGAGAACGGAAACCAATTTTGGGACGTACGTACAGACGGACAAGGGTAAAACTTAATGCCCTCTCCGCTACGGCGGGGGCATAAAAAACTAAGTCCATTTATCAGTAAAAGACGGAAAAAAGTAAATAAATATTTTCAAAATTTCACTCTGGATACTGTCTTTTGGTCATAAACAAGCTTCTGTCCAAATTTCATAAAATTCCCGGAAGGTTTGACAAAGTTATTGATGCCTAAAAAACTTTAACCACAGACTGAATCTAAATGTTGACGCCGCTGACTCCAACAAAGGAATCTAGGATTGCTATGTCTTGCTTCAACATTTGGTTGAGGCAAACTAAAGTTAGAGAACGGAAACCAATTTTGGGACGTACGTACAGACGGACAAGGGTAAAACTTAATGCCCCCTCCGCTACGGCGGGGGCATAAAAAAATAAGTCCATTTATCAGTAAAAGACGGAAAAAGGTAAATAAATATTTTCAAAATTTCACTCTGGATACTGTCTTTTGGTCATAAACAAGCTTCTGTCCAAATTTCATAAAATTCCCGGAAGGTTTGACAAAGTTATTGCCTAAAAAACTTTAACCACAGACTGAATCTAAATGTTGACGCCGCTGACCCCAACAAAGGAATCTAGAATTGCTATGTCTCGCTTCAACCACATAAATGTTGCAGGATCAACCAAAACTAACCGTCAACTAAACTGGGGTTTATTTAATCTGAGTATTTCTTGGAACCTCCTTTTTGTTATTTTATAAAAAATAAGAATAACTGGCTCTGGAGAGCTCCTTTTCAGCTTAATTTGAAATAATACAAACTGGAGTTTATCTGTGCAGTTTTGGAAAGTTGTTTTTGCTAATTTTTTAGCCAACTTTCAAAAAAAATTTACACAGAAATCTTGACAGGTGGAAATCAAAGAAAGCATATTAGTTGAAATATTGAACATTACGTATAATTTTTAAATCTTTATTGGGACAAAATCTCTTTACTTAACCCTGAGGAAAGCTACAAAAACAATTTATCTATGAAGAGCTGTTGGTTCTTTTCAGCTTTTTAACATGATTTGATTCAAGAGAGGTAACTCAATACTAAACTGTTTATATATCAAATTCAGCTTCAACAAATATAAAATCAGGTGCATAACCAACAAATTGGTAAATAAAATCTTTTTGTTTGATCTGCAGATAAACGAGTTAAACCAAGGATTAGACCTGAAACAAGCATACTAATGATCTGTCAATATTTTATAATAAAAATAAATTAATAATTAAAATATAATAAATAAAACACAAGAAATTATTGTTTGCCTCATAAAACTAATTTTATCTTAAAACTCAAAATACATACATATGAAAGGTTTTAAGTTGATTTCACTGAACAAATTGAAAAATGGGTCATATTCATAAACTATGGTTACACTAGGAACAGAATAGACAAAGTGTTTCTCTTAAAAATCACACTTGTTAGTGAATTTTTTGCGGTGAATGTTTGTGACAATAGGCAGTCACTCTAAGGATTTTTAAAGTCCAGGGATTTTGCTCTAAAATGATTGTATGCATGCTCTATTGATACAACATTTTACAATCTTGATGCATCTTTGAACTCACCAGTTTTGAAAATGATGGTTACAGACAGATTTTCATGAGTCCTGGGACAGATTTTCATGAGTCCTGGACTCATGGACTCGTCTTGTCTACATTATCTATTACAATCCAACAAGAGTTACTCAAAACATCACCACGAAATAAAAATAAAATGCTTCGCTGGGGCGCAGCTTGATACGACCGCAGAGGTCGAACCCTGAACAGTTGGGGCAAGTATGGACACAAAATTCAAGCTTGATACAGCTATGACTTTGGATTGTCATTAAATATTTGACACAGCATAGGTTTCTGACACAGGATGAATGTGGTGTAAGAACTGGAAAAAATTTAATTACCTATTATGGTGGAATATCCATAAACTAAATTGTTTGTTAATTTCAATATATCAAAGAATATGTAGAATTCAATGTTTGATGTAATGTAATAAAGTTGAAATTTGGACCGTTTTTGTTCAATGTGGACCAATTTGGTAACATGTATAAATAATCAAAAATCTAAATACATGGGAGCCCATTTAAATACATCATAAAGGTATTAAAATAGAAAGTGACATCATAGTCATGGCTAAAAATAAACAAAAATCCTTAATCAGCAACATTTAAAGTAATATCTAAAAATAAAATTCCTTTGTAACCATAAAAGCCCATTTAAATACATCATAAAGATATTAAAATAGAAAATGACATCATAGTCATGGCTAAACATAGCAAAAAACCCTTAATCAGCATCATTTAACAGTAATATCTAAAAATGGAAATTACATCATAAAGGTATTAAAATAGAAAATGACATCATAGTCATGGCTAAAAATAAACAAAATCCTTAATCAGCATCAGCAACATTTTATCGTAATATCTAAAAATAAAATTCCTTTGTAACCATAAAAGCCCATTTAAATACATCATAACAGATATTGAAATAGAAAATGACATCATAGTCATGGCTAAACATAGCAAAAACCTTAATCAGCATCATTTAACAGTAATATCTAAAAATAAAAATTTCTTTGCAACCATAAAAGTAAAATAGAAAATGACATCATAATCATAGCTAAAAATAAACAAAAATTTTTTTTATTGGCAAATTTTAAATGGAGTTTATTATACTAAAACAATAAATTTGCAACCATAAACATGATAAAACCCCATTTAAACACATCATAAAAGTATTAAATAATTCAACTACATCATAAGGCTATAAAAATAGAAAATGACTTCATAGTCAAGGCTAAAGGTAAACAAAAAACCTTCATCAGCAAAATTTTATATTGGCAAATTTCCAATGAAGTTTATTACACTAAAATTGTTGGCAAATTTCTAATGCATTTATTAACAATAAAGTTATTGGCAAATTTCCAATTTACATAATTTAAAAGCAGTGTAGATGAGATATTTAAATGAGTTTGAATTACCAACCTTACACTGCTTTAAATAATGTTCTTTACTCAATTATTTGTCTATTAAAATGGAAACCATTGTTTTTTAACCTTTTTTCCCCTTATTCCTTAAACATTAGAGCCATAACCCCGCCCCCAAAGCCAATTATTACTTTCCAATGTAACCTAAATTTCCAATATACATAATTTTAAATTTCAATTCCTCATGATATATAACCGTATCATTATTATTTTCTTTCATATATAAATCTGAAACAACCATCTTTAAATGGAAAATTTTAAAGAAAAAAAAAGGAAAAAAAAAAAATCCTACCCCTCACACATTTTTTCAACCCCCTTTTGATTCATCATCCCCCACCTCAATCACAACCTTCAATTTGTGGTATGGTACATTGCAATACAATTTCACAGAGATCCATACACTTGAACACAAGTTTTTGTTGCAAACTAAAAAAATCCTTATTTTCGACCAATATTTGGCCCCTTATTCATAAATGTTTGAGCAATTAACCCCAAAACTCAATTCCTACTTTCTCTTCGTGATAAAAAATAACTAACTTAAAATGTAAATTTTAAACAAAAAAAAAAGGAAAAAAAAAAATTACCCCTTTTTTGACCCCCGCCCCCCTTATGATTCATCACCCCCACCCCCCTTTCCCCCCAAACCAAGCTCAATAACAGCCTTGCCTTTGTGGTATGGTACCTTGTAATACAATTTTAGAGAGATCCATACACTTGAACACAAGTTATTGTCTAGAAACTAAAAAATGCTTATTTTAAACCCCTTTTTAGGCCCCTTATTACTAAACGTTTTGGGCAATTACCACAACACTCAATTCCAGCTTTCCCTTTGTGAAATGGAACCTTGTAGTAAAATTTCAGAAAGATCCATACACTTACACACAAGTTATTGTCATGAAACTAGAAAAATGCTTGTTTTTTGCCCCCTTTTGGCCCCTTATTCCTAAAATTTTGAGGCAATTAACCCAAAAATCAATCCCAGCATTGACCCTTTGTGATATGGAATCTTGTGGTACAATGTCAAAGAGATCCATATGCTAACACACAAGTTATGTCTGGAAGTTACAAAAATGCTTATTTTCGGCCCCTTTTTGGCCCCTAATTCCTTAACTGTTGGTACCATAACCCCCACCTTCCTATTGTGGTATTGAACCTTATGGTAAAATTTCATAGAGATCCATTCACTTAAACTAAAGTTAGAGTGCGAAAACCATTGTGTATTCGGACGACGACGCCGGACGACGACGCCGACGCCAACGTCATACCAATATACGACCTCAAAATTTTTTTGCGGTCGTATAATTACAGTTTACTTTTCTTTTATTTCAGTCTATTTATAGCAGCAATAACCTTGACCTTTGAACCTGAAAATCAATAAAATTCTTCCCCTTCTGTATATCTTCTATCTATACAAGTTTTATTATAAAACACTTAGAACTAAAGTTACCATCTGAAAACCAACTTTAATTTGTTGTTCTATTTGCTGCAACAGTGACATTGAACTGAACCCAAAATCATTAGGCTTCTTCTCCTTCCCTGTATCTTCCAGGGTTCTCACTAAGGCATTTTGAAGACTAAGTCCAGGGACTCATCATTTTTGGCCATGGTAAGTCCAACAGTGAGAAGATGAAATTGTATTGCTATATGATTTATCAATTCAGTCCCCATGAAAAAATAAAGCAAGGAAAAGACATGAAGTTTAGATTATTTTAAGATAACTTGGATGCTCAAGCAAACAACCATGTATACAAGCTAAGCCACCACACAGGACAGCAAGGTCAACAAAGTCCTTGGTTAAATATAATTTAAACCAAACATAATTTATCTTGGCCTATAAAATATGAACAAATGTAAATACATGAATACATGAATTATTTAGGAACAACTTCTTACCATAAGCGTCTTCATCCACTTCTCCTGAGTAATATTCAAGTACTGTTCTATAAACTGTATATCCTAGCTTGTTGTACATGTCTACGGCAACTTTGTTTGAAACTCTTACAAATAAATCCACAAAGAAACATCGTTTTCTGAAAATTTAAATACAAATTTACTGTAAGATAGCTTCCTATACTAGCATTTCTACTTACAAATGTTACTACATTTCATCCGACTGTGCAAGACCCTCATGGGTAGTCAAGGTCATCAAAAATCCCCCTGGTCGGCGACTACCTTTCATGGAGTCAGATCCTGTAGCCCCTGTCACAAAATATCTTACATTTAAAATGATTGTAATTTATAAAGATTTGGTCATGTCTATATTTAATTCTTTTCTTTTAAAATAATAACCCTGCCTTCTTTCTTTCCTTGAGTATAAAGTAATTTTCTTCAAATATATTTTTTGTTGAGTGTAAATTACACAATTGTTTTTTTTCTGGAATGTAACTTTTTATATACACATAGATAAACTCATCAGTATCAATCACTGGTCAGGGAAGTCTATTATAATAATAAGATGGCAGCTAGTAAATTGGTGACACAAAGAATAAAGCTTAAAGACATCTTGCAAATACAGGTAAAATCTTGTGGCATAAACACAAGAACAAATATCAACCTTTTTGCCTACTGCATATATTCAATATGACAAACATTCAAAAAACTAGTCTAGAATGCACAAATCATGAAGCTAAGTGTATAAACATACAAAATACAAATATGTACCAACTTCAGAATGGCCCAGATCAATGTTTCAGTTTCAGAAAAGCATGTCTTCCTTTATTGATAGCAAGTATAATAAGGCTAAAGAGTTTGATATGTTTGTAGGTCTTCAATAATAATCTTTTTGATTTGCAATTTTGAGTGCATATGTACCTCAAATTCCCTACACAGTTTTTTTTTTTTTTCAACCAGATTTAACTCTGATGTCTTAACTAAAAGAAAACACATGAAATTCTACCTACTTTTCAGAAATTTCCTCCAAGATATTCATCAATTTAGCTGCAAGACCAAGCCGTCTATATTCTGGTGCCACTGATAACGCAGTTACATGACCATGCCATAAATCAGCTGACCCCTCTGCTTTACCCATTACTGAAAATGGAACAAATCATATATTTTACTTGATCCTCAATAACAGAAGCAACTAATTACATATACAACCTGAGATACAATGTAGGTCATATTCTTATATACATCTACTACTTCTTAATAAATGAATGTGCTTCATTCTTAGTAAATATGTAGTTGTCGTCTGTTTATGAAGTTCATACGTGTTTCTCGTTTCTCGTTTTATATAGATTAGACCGTTGGATTTTCCGTTTGAATGGTTTTACACTAGTAATTTTTTGGGGCCCTTTATAGCTTGCTGTTTGGTGTGAGCCAATGCTCCGTGTTGAAGGCCGTACCTTGACCTATAATGGTTTACTTTTATAAATTGTAACTTGGACGGAGAGTTGTCTCATTGGCACTCATACCACATCTTCCTATATCTATGAGAGATTTTAAAAGCTTCATGCTTTAAAAAAATACATTGAAAATACTCTGGCCTTTTGGCTACTAAGCATGGTATGAATTAATATAAACATTGTCTATGAATAAAAGGAGATGTGGGGTATATGTCAGTGAGTCAGCAACCAAACGACACAAAAAAACAAACTTTTAGAGGTCAATATATAGTCTTAAAACTATAAATAGATGTTATTATGTCCTTTTATTTGTCCAGCCACAGATTCAGTTACTTGGAAATACTTTGGCCTGTGAGCAAGGTATTGAAAATATATTTACTGCTTCCTATTGTTTGTCAGGCTAGATTAAGCAAGTTAAAATTATTATTCATCATGAAAATTAACTCTATAAAGTGGATATAGTATGAGAAAATGTTCTTAGTGCATTTCATTTACATTTGTTCGTCCAAATACTTAGCCATTTAAAGTATTACACATGTACTTTGGTCAGTGAGTTAAGGTATAAGTCGTGCTATTGAAAGTTCTTACTATTCCAATTGTTTGTTTAGCTGGAGAATCAGCTACGTGTAAAAATTATACATGTACTCTAGCCAGTGCGTAAGGAATAAGTGAAAGTTCTTGCTGACAAGTTACTGTATCCCATTATTGTATTTGTCTGAGGTTTCAACTACTTTGAAATGGCCAGTGGGTAAGGTATGAGTAAATATACTTAGTCTTACTGTATCCCATTATTTGTCCAGCCGGAGATTCTGCCACTTGGAAGTACTCTGGCCAGTGAGCAAGATACTGCATATAAAATGGCAAGCCATACTGACAGTGTCAAGGAATAAAAAACAAGGGTAACACTTAATGCCCCCTCTGTGGGGGGCATAAAAAAAGATAAATACATGTAGTAACAACTCAGTGACACCATAAACATCAATTTCACATTCATGAACTTTTAAGACCATCCATAATTTTGTGCTTGTTTACCTAATAACATTGCAATACAATCATTCTGGTCAGTGGTCAAAGAAGTAATATGTTTTCTGTTGTGTTATAAAAAATACAGGAAAAGATTTTGTTTCTAGTAATGACCATGATGACAACTAACTTGAAATAAATAACAGAACAACAAAATTTCACTTATAAGTATCTATTACATGTAAGGACTATGATGGTTATAAATCTGTATATGTAATAATATATATATTCAACTAATGCCTTTTTCCAATAAAGATATTGATACAAGATACATAATAATATTGAATTCTAAGTTTTGTAAATTTTTTATTTTAAATTTTTTGTACACTTTTGAATTGTATAATAAATTGCTGCGCTGAGCGCAGCTGGATACGACCGCAGATGTCCAACCCTGAAAAGTTGGGCCAAAATGGACACAATATTCACACTTGATACAGGTCTGAATTTGGATTGCAACTAAATTTTTGACACATAATAGGTTTCTGACACAGAATAACTGTAGTCAAAGAACTTCAAATTGGTTATATGATTTGAATTTATATTCAATTTATTGCTTTTGTGCAATACACTATGCTGTTGCGAATTGACCCCCCCCCCCTTACCAAAAAAAATTTATTTTACCCCAGTTTTTTGCTTTTGTGCAATACACTATGCTGTTGAATATTAACCCCCCCAAAAAATATTTGAAGAAATTTTCTTTTAATTTCTGAAATCTGAAATGAGAAAAATTGTCCCCACCCCCCCTCCAATTTTTTCACCTCCCCCCTTTCCCTTATTCCCCAAAAAAATTCTTTCCCTCAAAGATATGGTCAGTATCTCAATTCAAATTTCTAATGTAGTTTGCAACCAAAATTACCCATTTAAATACATCATAAAAGTTTTAAAATATAAAATGACATACAGTCATGGCTAAAGTTAATATTAATTAATAGTAACTGCTAAAAATAAATTGACAGCTAATCACCTCAAGACAATCATCATTTCTTAATACATAATTTACAAGCAGTGTATGGGAGGTATTCAAACAGTGTTCTTTAATTTGAATTGGATTACCTCCCTTACACTGCTTTTAAATTGTCTCAATTGTCCTTTATCCAGAAAAACCCTTGTTTTTCCCCTTTTTTTGCCCCTAATTACTAAATGGTTTGAGCCATAACCCCCCAAAGTCAATCCTAACCATCCCTTTGTTGCATAGAAGTTTGTGGTATAATTTCAGAGAGATTCATACACTTTAACACAAGCTGTTGTCTGGAAACTACAAAAATGGTTATTTGGGCCCCTTTTTTGGCCTCTAATTCCTAAACAGTTGGGACCATAACCCCCAAAATCAATCCCAACCTTCCTTTAGTGGTTATAAACCTTGTGTTAAAATTATATTGATTTCTCTTTACTTATACTAAAGTTATTATCCTGAAACCATCTGTCTTCGGACAACGACAACGTGATACCAATATACGACCAAAAAATTTTTTTTATTTTTGCGGTCGTATAAAAATTTTTAATTTTTGCGGTCGTATAAAAACTGCATAATAATCATTTATCACTCTATGGTCAGAAGAACTTTTTACCGAATTAGAACCTCTATCGCACCTAAAGGCATTTAGTTTTCAATACAGGCCCTTGGTGTACAAATATACTTGTGAGTTAAGCATATAGTATACTAATATTATCTCCTGGTATCCTGTTTCAAATGAGAGCAGAAAGTTATATTGCAATTGCAGTTAATGTCCCAGTTTATTTTGGTCAGAATGGTCCTCCTCAAGGTCTGTGTCTCAGGCGATTCAATGTTCATGTCCATCAATAAATGTATATAAATACAACAGAATGGAATTATATGTAACTACAATCTCTACAAAACAGGAGAAAAGCTCTGTGAGCCCTTCCTATTTCTAAAACTACATGTACATATGTAGTACAAATATTTTTTTTGCTTAAAAACACAGAAGAGATAGATCAATTTCATGTTGTTCTAGGTATGAAGGATACAGTTTCTGTCAGCGGATCTAAATTCCTGCAAAAATAATATCAATAATTAATCCATCCAATCAAATTTGTATGCATTATATTATAACTCTTTGTTGAATATTGAAGGGAACAATACATTTCATACATTCAGCAGATGTAGTACTGATTAAAAATACTAAGTAAAATGTTTACCTGACTAAATCACTATTTGAATCAATTTGGAAAAATAAAATATATTTGTTATTCCTTAAAAGTTTTAAACAGAGGAAAACTTCACAAGATTTTGTATATCTGCTTACAGAGTAACATAGTAACTATTAGATTCTTAAAGGGTGACGATCATGACCTTCATGGTTCTCTCAATAAGGTTATTTAAAGTAGAAATTTCACAAAATCTTAATATTTATGTCATATCTAAACATTTGCTGACAAGAAAACAAGATTCATAAGGTTATTCAAATAAACCAACACTATCATGTCAACATATAATGTGATGTTATACTATTGTTTCAGAAAAGGGAGAAGGTTTGGTACCATTAAAACGTTTAATCCCGCTGCAAATGTTTGCACCTGTCCTAAGTCAGGAATCTGATTACAGTAGTTGTCGTCTGTTTATGAAGTTCATACGTGTTTCTCGTTTCTCATTTTTATATAGATTAGACCGTTGGTTTTTCCGTTTGAATGGTTTTACACTAGTAATTTTTTGGGGCCCTTTATAGCTTGCTGTTCGGTGTGAGCCTATGCTCCGTGTTGAAGGCCGTACCTTGACCTATAATGGTTTACTTTTATAAATTGTAACTTGAATGGAGAGTTGTCTCATTGGCACTCATACCACATCTTCCTATATCTAATCAATAAATTAGGAAGTTGTTCTTCCTTCTTGAAATCTGATCTGATCACAAATTCATGTCACTTGAAATCAACAAGTTACACTATCATAGAGTTAATTATGAAATTTGTATACAAAGGCATTGGAAGCTTATAGGCCAGGAGGGCAAGATACACCATATAAAATATTGTTGAAGTCACTCAAGCAGAAGACAGTAAAAAATGCCCTGCAGAATATGTTGCACAAAGATATTCTTAGAACAATAAAAATGTCTTTGACATGTTAAAATTTGTAGGTTTTATTTAATTCCTATAACTATAAAAAGGCAAATATGAAAAATTTCAAAATTGAAACCAAGCATACTTTTACAAATCCTAACAATGGTAAGGTTTATGATCGAAGCATACTTGCATTTGTTTGCACCTGTCCTAAGTCAGGAATCTGATGTTCCGTAGTTGTCGTTTGTTGATGTGGTTCATAAGTGTTTCTCGTTTTTTATATAGATTAGACCGTTGGTTTTCCCGTTTGAATGGTTTTACACTACTAATTTTTGGGGTCCTTTATAGCTTACTGTTTCGGTGTGAGCCAAGGCTCTGTGTTGAAGACCGTACTGTGACCTATAATGGTTTACTTTTATAAATTTTGACTTGGATGGAGAGTTGTCTAGTTGGCACTCATACCACATCTTCTTATATCTATTGAGCCAGATAGTGATACATGTGATATGAGAAAATGCCTAAAACCTGACTGACCTAATATTAATTCAGAAATGATAAATAGGAAAATTTTCAAAAATAAAAAGGGAGCTAAAAGTAACTTTTACAATCCCAATAACAATACAAAGTTTAAAGTCATTTGATCAATGGATACATGTACTTCGGCTAGTGTGACATGTGAAAAATTTACTTAAATCTGACAGTTCGAAGTTCAATCACCAGATCACTCTTGAATGACACACTAGAAAATTTTCAAAATCAAATTGGAGCTTACTTTTACCAATTCCAACAATAGTGATCTGTACAATCCTTGTGGGCCCATTATTAGTAATAATTAAGAATGTTGTTGTTGTTTGTATGACAGGCTTATAATCTCAGAAAATTTGAAAATAGTGCCATCTTAATAGGCTCAAACAAAAAAATGAGATTCAACAATAAAATTGAATAATGCAAAGTATCCGTTGCAGCATAAATAATTGGGAGCGTCTTTTTACCACAGAACACCACAGAATACCACAGAACACCAAAAATATACCACAGAACTTCGAAATATAAATACTTCAGACATTATATCATTGTTATTGTTAATTCTTTTTATAATTTGACATTTATTATTCAAATAGATTTAATTTTTCTATTTAGGGCCGACTCACTATCGCTACGCCCCCAACTGAATTGGCCTATTATTGGGTCTATACCAAAAACACCTACCAGTATTAAAAACCATAATATACAAAAAATATTTAAAGTCACAAGTCAACAATTGTAATTCTGGGATATATTTCTGACATTTATTTTTTTTTAAAATACATTTTTTTTCTTGTTACTTTTTTTCTTCCATTTTTTAGAATGCTTAGATGCATAACGTAATTATATCTTAAATCTATTTTGTATATTCCAGAATTTATTGTTTTTGTAGTTGTCATTTTTGTTTAATTTTATGTTAAGAGTTGTTACAATAAGTACATGTATATTATTAAATATTGAATAATATATAAAGCAGTCCTTTAAAGGCTACCAAATACTTTCAAAAAGATATTTGAAGTTGTTGTTGGAGTGTTATTTTAGTTGACTAATAAAATATTATAAGTGTGTCTTTATAATAGTCAAAAATTTCAAATTTGATGATTTGGGACTTTTCTTTTGATGTGTGTGTATCTTCTACAATTTATGTATAGAATTTATGCAGGGCCTTACATTGTATAGAGGCATGTTGGTAGTTGTCTCCAGCATGGTCCAGGGAAAAGTTTTCTGACAACACTAGCGGCAACTCAGATGGACATCACAAACTAGTACATTAGTTTGTTAATACTATTATGTCTAAAATGTTTAGTAAATATGTTGAACAGTGCCAATGCAATTTAGAGTCAGAGAAAGCTTTATCTGGTAAAGGTGGTAACAAAGGAGTTCTTTTGTCAAATTTCGATGTGGCGTAACACCACTAAGAATCGAAAAAGGGATATTTGAAAAAAATGCTTTTAGAGGAGCGAGTCTGTGATAGTTGTAAGAATATTTTAGAAGAAGCCCATGTTATTTTATCGTGGCCTTTATATGATGATTTTAGACAACAATTATTTGATGAAATAACACATTTTAACAGTGATTTTATGTCTTTTGATGATAAACAGAAATTAGTGTTTTTATTAACAGATGTTAATATGATTTGTAGCTGTGACAAAGCCTTTTGTTAGAACTTTTTTATATTTTCTACTATTAATATTTTCAAACTGCACATTGATGAAAACTAACTCATTCATGTCATTAGGTTTTATGGATATTTACCTGAAGTTAATTAGCATTATGTTTTGACAATCTATGAATCCCTTGTTTATTCAACTGCCTACATGGATTTCTTACAAATGACATACAAGATTTTAGGAGGAATAAACCATTTAATTGAATTATACCTTGCATAATCAGATGGCAATTAGAATTCAATCAATTGACAATTTTGTAAATAGTTGATTATTTTGAAATTTATTAACAGAATTGGGAGAACAAACTTAATCTTATTAGTGTAATTAGCGCCGCTAAAATTCATCATGTAAACTTTTTTTTTGTAAAAAAAAGCATTTTTTTTACAGAAAAAACATTTTTTTATAGAAAAAAAACATTTATTTATAGAAAATCATTTTTTTTTATAGAAAAACTTTTGTTTACAATAAATTGTCTTTAATAAAAGATTTTTATAAAATAAAAGTTTAGCATTTCAAAGGTCTCCAAATATAAAAAAAAATCTACCAAATAACAAAAAAAGTTATGATCATTAAAGAAATCCGGTCAATCGTCCTATCATTAGTGTAGCCCGAATTATAAAAAAATAATATAATTCTGAATTATTAGTTTTGCATTTTGTAAAGTAATTCAATGTTCTGTGGTAGATTTTAGTAGTTTTTATTGTATTTTGTGTAGTTCTGTGGTATATTTTGGGTGTTCTGTGGTATTCTGTGGTTTTCTGTGGTGTTCTGTGATATTCTGTGGTGTTCTGTGGTAAAAAGACGCTCCGTAAATAATTTACCATGAGATGGTAACTGGCGCATAACAATTAGTTAGTGTTATTTACATTCAAAAGGAAAGAGTACAGTGCCATAAATAGTCAATTACATTAACGCCTCTTCTGTGTGGTATTTACCCTCCTTATGGTATAAAAAGTACATAATTGTAGCAAAAATTTTAGGTAATTTTACTTTCATTTTGAGATAAATTATCTGTGAGGTAAAATTAAAAAGATACCAATTTTGGGTTAAGATATATATTAAGAACATGACAGAACTTTTTACCATTTAAAGGCATATACTTACACATTATTAAATCTAAATAAGTCGTCACAAGTAAACGGACGAATAGTCGTCATCTCTCAGAGAGACAGGTGCCCAACCGGCCTAAAATGAAACCGGATGTTAATTCATGCAAGCTTTGATAAAAAGAAAGATTTATTATTTGAGTTGTGATTTCCTTTACCTATATTCTAGCTTATGTAATGTAATCATCTAGGTTGTAATGTGATTGATCTAATTTCAATAATTTGTTTTTTAAATTACTTAGTTTTCATTATCATTCAAAGTTATCTTTATTGTATATAGAAATAAGATTCCTTTATTCACAGCCTAAAATTGAAAATTCAAACATCCGGTTTTGTTACTGACCAAGCTTCTATTTAAAAAATCGTTGCTATGATATCAAAATAAGTAACTAGTCCTGCATCGAACAACAGATTTGATAATCAACAAACATTAGGTAAACCTGTCGCATTTTCATTAATCATACTTCACAATAACAAAAATAAACTGATAAAAAAATCACAACATGCCTGATCACGTTTATGAGTCTGTTATTGTGTTTTTAAGGTTTAGTTATACATTGTGCATATCTCACACTAAAACGTTAAGATTTTAGTTGAAGCAACCATTTATCACTGCATGTTTAGGTAAGATCACCATTGCATTTCTTGCAAGAATAGGTACAATAATCATATGATATATTAGTCTTTGCGGTCAACCACAGGCCCATCAGCCCAGGCTTGTAAAACTGTCGGGCCTGTTAAAATAATCTCCACAGGCCAATATAATCTAACCCTTAAATATTCTTTAAATTCAGCTTCGGGCCTTTAGATTCAATATTCTATTGTGAAGACTGGATATTTGATTCTGAGATGATTTTTATGACTTCGGCCAAATAACAACCTGAAACTCTGACGTCCCTAGTGATTCTTACCAGTATCTTTCAAAAAAATATAGAATTAGCACTATAAAATCTGATCTTTGATATTGTAACCTTAAGCTAGATACTATCTGATCAATGTTAGTGTGACCTAAGCTACTCAGTGTTCTCCCCAGGGCCTTTTAGCATCATTGTTATGTGATGCTACATTTCTTGAATGTGATGCTATCTTAATTGATTTTCTTATAGATTGTGTTACGGATGTGATGCTATAATGTTTAGAAACAAGATGGTATTTCAAATATCCCTGTTTACCAGGATGCTATATGAAATATCTGGGGAGAACACTGCTACTAATGTTGAGTTCCTTTTTATGAATGTGTAACACAGGTTGATTGGTGTTCAATCTGTGTAATTTATGTTATTGAACAATTGCCTCCTACTTTGATGTAATAATGCATCAAGACATTAAAATGGACAGGAAATTGCATGCATTTGAAAGGTATCTATTACTCCCAATTATTGGGCAATACACCTTATCGTTATTTCTCTGCTATTACTGGACATCCCAAAGGTTCCAGTAAATTTTGACGTCACAATAGAACAGGAAAAGAAAATGTTTGAAGCCACAAATGAAAAGTGATTGTTGTACATTGTATGAAGTCAATCATCAAGTGTTGCAGATTCTCTGGTCAAGTGTCACAGATTTTCAAATAGCTATAAGGTCTATGGAGGACCAGAAGTGAATTACTTTACATATGAACTTCAATTGCAAAATACTTTTATGTTATAAATATATATATATACATATTCCCCATTTCCATTCTCAATTTTATATATATACTGCCTCCTGGTATTGTGCTGGTAATAGTGGATAACTATGGGTTTGTTTCACAAACACTTTAAAATTTGCATTTGTTTCTTTACTTCTAAACATGATGCATTTGGGAGTAAGAGCAAACTCAGCAAAGATTGGTCAGCTTTGAGTCAAGAATAATATACCTGGGTAGGTGAATGTTAGTTTGTGAACCAGCTCATAAGTAATCAAGCTTGGCATGTCTGTCTAGTACATACATGTAGCAGGGTTTATATTCATATCACATCAACATGCTTGTCCTTATATGCATGAAATATTTGCCATTTGACGCTAGAAATCAATCCATCCATCCAATTAGATTATAAACTTAATGAAGCTAGAGAACTAGAATTACATGTATCCAGAGTCAGTTTTATCAGTCTAATTTGATATAACAATTAAGCTTCCATATTGAAGAAAAACATGTTGGTAAAATGCATTGTTTAAATTTCTATTTTACTAAATATTTCAGCATCTTTCATGTTCGTTGAAACAAATTTACATGTTCAAATGTACATTTTTGTACATACATCTGTTCTCATGATAGTTCTTGTTATTAATTTATAGTATAATTTTAAAATACCATAATCAGTTGTATTTTAATAATGCATGATTGCAGAATTTCACAGTCATCCATGTGGGATTTAAAAAATGATTTTCTTTTTAATAGGTTAACTTTGTGAAAAGTATTATAGCATAAAAATGGCATTTTCTGAAGATCCTGTGTATGTTTCTTTGGACCAGAAGTTTGACAAAGTTTTGGCAGATATGAAGCCATATGTATTGAAGTTACCACATAAAACAGGTAATATAATTAATGTAGATGTTTTGGCAGTAATGTATTCTTAATTTGCATTGTTTTTTTTTATAATTGTCATGATTATAAACTAAATGTTTGTTTCATTTCAAGTAGTTTTCTTTTGCTATGGCTTGTGAGATAGACATGATGTGTAGAATTTAGATATTTACTGCATTTGCATTTGTATCATTTATTTAAGTGTGTAATAAGGGCAAAACACATTTTTTTAATTTTAAATTTTCATAATGGAGATCAACTCCTGTCCAATCAAGTTGAACATCTGACTGTAAATGTTTCCCATCACCATCACAATTTTGTTGATAGATAAAAGGTTTCTGTTCATGTCTCAACTCACAAGAATTAGAAACATGTTTTCACATTCTTCAAGATCTAAGGACACCAAAACAGTCACATGATATGTAAATTAACCAATTGTGTCCTCTTCACAGCCCTGCCCCTTTTGACTTGGTGATTCATAAAGAGATGATGCAAACATACATGTAGCAGGTGACATGCACTTGGTTTGTGTATAAATAAAATATATAAAGGAAGCAGTTAGGAGTTTGGTTTCACATTTTGGACCCAGTGAATTTTTCAAATATGAAAGTTATTGTGCATAGCCTCACTGTGAATTTGAGATGAAGAACTGCAATAAAAGAGCTGTTCCTTTGCTTTTTGTGTATTTGCTGTGCATGTACTGATTTTGTGTCATGGATGGATACCCTATATCCTTTGTTTTTCTATTTATAAAATTAATTTTTAGATACCTGAAGAATAATATAGCCTTCAAAGTGGGTTTATATGAACATCAAGATTGTGTTTTGCAGGTTTTATAGGCCATTTTCTGTTTGACAGTCTGTACTTTTCACATCCGTATGTGCCATAGGTCCAAAACTTATTGTATTGAAATGTTTTCCAATAAATATTATTACGGTTAAACTTTTCAATTCAATTTAAGAAATTCTAAGAAAGCAAGGGAAAGATGATGGTGAAAAATTAAGTGTGTCAATTTTAAGTTTTTTTCTAACTGTGTATTGCTACTTAAGAGTTTTTCACACCTGTAAACTTCTTCTGCCTCTTATCATGCTTATTATTCCCTTAAGATTTACATGTAGACAGAAAATACCTTAGGTTTAAATTCACACACATGTATACATTGTGTATATGCCACATGATGTGTAATTTCCACTTTATATTGAGCAGACCAGTCAACTAGAGATGGTAAATTCATTCATATGTCTCAAATGTCTACCTCATAGTCCTTTTTAACTGGCCTGGAAAAGATTGTGTACAAATAAAATAGTAATGATAAAAAAAATTCCCTGACAACAAAACTCTTTTTTCAAAAAGTTTTGAAAATTTAATAGGCCGCATGTTGTGATAAAAAAACTTGTTAAGCACCCTGATAACTTTATATAGCATAATAAACAGCCATTGAAATCAGAATAAAAATATAATAAAATCTTAGAAAATCGTATCAGAATTCATCATATAAAGATTTGGAATTTGAAATATTTCTGGTATAAAATTCCTATTGGCGTTAAAATGAGTAATTTTTACTTGAGGTTAAGCAAACAACAAGCAAAAAACTTGATGTGTTAAATTTTGAACTTTTTTTTTTCTGTGTGAAATTTTTTTTCCAATTGACTAACGTCAATGTTTATATGATAAAATTGTGGTTTTGCAGAGAAGGACTGAAACAAAAGTATTTATCTTTTGAAAGTAAAATTTATTTTTAACACTTCTGTATTCCCATAAGCTAAATAATCATTGACAAAGCTGTTATTTGTACATTGTCTTTTCCTCACTAGTATTGTATCTATACCTTTGTTCAATATAAATAAAACAGTCTTTAACGGTAATCCTGCTCATTATTTATTGTTCCTTTATAATTATTTACTGTGTTTCTTAATAAAATTTGTATTATTGAATTGTTAGATTCTTATCCCGCCAGCCAATCATGTTCCACCAAACTAATTTTTTTTTAACATTTGTGTCGTCTTAAGGAAATGTGTTGCTTTCAAACGTAAAAAAGTACTTTGTTGTCAGAATCTTTTGAAGTTGAAATATTTATGTCTATCCCTACTTTTTAAAAAAGAAAAATGTTGGATGGGAAACTAGAAAATTCTTACAATGGCCATACATGTAGCACTCCAGTCCATGCTAGTAGGAAAAATTTTGTCTTGTTTCAGTTGTGGAAAAAGATACTTATGATTTATAACATAATTTCACATACTATATTAGAGTACAGTTACTGATATATATATACATGTATATAGTTAACATATTAACATTGAATAGAAATTACAAATATATTGTGTACATGTATTAAATGATGTAGGATTTATTTAAAAACATACATACATAAACTATCCTTTGAAAAGCAAAACACATGTGATTTTTGTGCAAGAGGACATGGACAAACTTATACCCCTCTCAGGAGGAGGGTTGTATACTGCTAAGTGCTTTATCACTGTCCATGTGTCCCTTGAAATTTGAGTCATTTTTTCTCAGAGCTACACCAATTTGGTATCAAGCATCATGTGATGCAATTTTGCATCCATCACTCATCATTTTCCAATTTGCAAAATACTAAGGCCAAAAATAAGATTGAAATTGTTTGATGTTGCCTACCTACCCACCTAAAAAGCAGTCTACCCAAAAAAATTTATGACACAAATCGTTTACAAAAATATTTTCAAAGATTTTTTCCTGCTCTAATGCATTTTCTTGTGTAATACATGTAACTTATGTTATTGGTAAAAAAAATTAAATCCCTACCTACCTACCCAATCCTTTATGGAATGGGTAGGCAACATCAAACAAAGAATTTTTTAAGAGTGGCCTTATAGCAGGGATATCATAAATGATCAATATAACTCACAGCACATCTTTTTTTTTTACTTATTTTTACTTATAAATGAAATAAATTTTACATTTGTTCCATTTCTACTTTTGTATTGTGAGGATAATTATTTAAGTACATTTAATTTACAGATAAATTTGGTTATATTTGATTTTGTTATTTAATAAATGAGAGTCAAAGATGATTTAATTTCATATTTGATTAGGAGACAAAAAACGCTCAGGTAAAGTATGCTTGGTACAATGTATATATTGTTTAAACAAGGAATTATTTGAATCTGTAATAATTTTGAATTCTGGAAAACTGATTAGAAATGTATGATGAAAACTAACCCAACTGAAAAGGGGTTAGCCATGTATGCATGGCTAACGTTAATTTACTTTTACTGATATTTCAGTATGAACTAACTAACCCCCTTTAGCCATGCACACATGGCTTACCCTATTTAGTTGGGTTGGTTTTCAACATACATTTCTTATCAATTTTCCAGAATTCAAAATTATTCCAGATTCAAATAATTCCTTAATTTTAGTTGATTTGTTTTATTTGGTTTTATTTTCTACTCTTTGGTTTAAAATTTGGTTTTTATATTTATTTATTTATTATTATTTCATAATCACTCAGTCTCTTATTGAAAGTTCTTTGCAATCAAAAACAAAAAAACGTTAATAATATTTTTTTTTTAATGTTGACCCAGATCCTTAATCTGTACATGTCAAATCAGAAAAATAATAATAGATTAGTTCTCAAATCATAAGTCGAAAAAGTCAAGCATGAAAAGCATACATCTGATAACCAGGAGCAAAGATGGTAAAATATTCTATATATATATAAGTCTTTAAAATAACCAATTAAACATTGATTTACTATATAGGTTAAAGATAACTTTGTCATGTTGACACAGTCTTAAAGCTATGTTAAAACCATTGAACTATTTGATTTTTAATATAGATCGGTCTTTAATTTATAAATGATTTATTTTTGTATTGATCTCTGATAATTTAATCAGATCAACACTAAGTATTTAAATAGCCATTCTTATCATCAAGTATGTTCAAATCTAATTATTGGAGTATTTAATAGGCATTTTTTTACTGTACCTCCTAAGACTTTAAATATCAACACACAAGTATTACTTAAAGGCAACACGTTCATGATTTAGAAAGAAGGTACATTGGCATAAGAAAGTCTTTTTGTGAATAAAAGGAAGAAATATAATGTTTTTTTTAATTTTTTTGATGGCAACTTTGAATGAAGATCTATTCAGATGTTGTACTGGACCGTTAAAGTTATAGTCTAGTATAGCAGTAAAAGGCTAAATATACATTTGTATATGATCAAATCAAGTGTAGATGTTTGTTTTCTTTCTGTCTTCTTTAATTACTCTTCAGACATTTCTGTAGTTGAAGAAAAATCACCAATAGTATAGAGTGTGTTCTATCACAGGGAAGTTGATGGGAGTGTGTTAGTTTTTTCTTACACAATCACAAACATCTTTTTGTTTTCCAACTTAGTTTATGAAAGTCCCTGATTTATTTTGCCCTTTGAATTGTTCATGGTGTTTGTAACAAGATTTTTTGGATATCCTCTCATTGTTCACCAACCTCAATCAAAATTATCCTTTATTGCCATTTAAAACTGTTGCCCTTAACCCATTTACAACACCAACCAAGTGTTTTCCTCATTCGGTTTTAGCGTCAGGATACCAGGTTGCTGTAAATTTTTTAATACATTATATTTTCCTGTACATTCTTTTATAAAGATAAACTTCAAATTATTTCCAAATGTTACATTGACACTTAGCAAGATTTTTTTTAACTTCTAAAAATTACTTTTAACTGAAAACGTCATTGGATGACACTATTAATCTAACTTTATTCTCTAAGTGATACAGTGATCATATTTAATTTATATATAAGCTTTTTTAATTGCAATTGGATTATTCTAGATCTATTGTAAGTGTGGAACATGTCAAAAGTTCATTTCATAGTTTTAAAAAGGATAGATTTATTGAAGAATTGGTTACCAACTTTTTGTTGAAATTATAGTCATTTCACTTTTTCAGAATCAAATAGACAATTGATATTCAAACTATATCCATTGTAAATTTGACTTTTGATAAGTAAAAGACTACCATAAAACTTTTCAGAAAAGGAAGAACTGATATATAATTCAAAATTACAAGCTGCATAAAATTAATACAAAGATATCCTTAATCTTAATTTTAATTTTTTAGATCGACAGAAGTGTGCCATCTGGATAAAGAAGCTTTGCGAACCAGTTACAGGAATTACAGGAAGGTATATATGCCATTTAATTTAAACTGTAACAATGTATTGTTTATAAAATACTTGTATGTTGTTAGCCTGAGGTTGCTCTGGCGTCTATTCTTTTGAGAGGAGATCAGAGCATAGTCAATATACAAAACATCTTATGACTAATTAAGTTTGGGACTTGGCAGTCTCGCACTGAGTGACCTGTAGATAGAAATTTGCATATTGCTCAGTTCGATAAAAAGATACATTTAAATTCACATTTTAACAATTGTTTGACACTTTTACTGGTATGAATGTATTTTTTGGGGAAGTTATGTATAAATTGAAAAATTTTGGAACAAAAATTAAAAATCTTGTCATATCTCCTTAAGTTATTAAATTAAAAGGGGTACTACAGGCTTTTTGAATATCTATTTGGTATGAGATATATGCATTGTACAAAATATTTCATTTACATTATTTTCCACAATTTTAGAATTGACAGAACCATTAATTATGTTACTTGTCCTGAAATTAAAAAGAAAAGAACATGGAGTAAATATCTTTTTTGTGTCTTTTTTTTTTGTAGAAAGAACAGAAATGCTTATGCACAATTAATGTTACACATGTTGAAACGAGGAGTACTAGAAGGACCATTTACCAGTAAACCACAGGATGGTGAATTACCAACGTTACCACCTTATATGGTAGATATTTATTTAAGTACTTTCATATGTCTGAAAGCCCTTAGGGAACCTTCCCTTTATATCAACTTTTAAATGATTAGACATATATTTTCAGACCTTGACATGTATCAAGTTTTTCATTTCTAATTTGACAATTGAATTGTGTGCCCTTACCAAAAAAAAATGAGAATGTCATGAAATGATATAATAGTTTGCTTTCACATTTCATGTTAAGCTGAAATATTTTTCAAGAGATTACTTTTTATCAATAAACTTTTCAAGAGATAACTTCATATTTAAAAAAAAATGAATATAAAAATAAAATCACACAATTATTTAAAAAGGTCATTTACACAACAGTTGCTCCAGAGAAATTTTGAAATAAATCAAATAATTTTTAAAGATTGTTATAATGATATAACTTAATTAACATACTTGTTTGTATATTTTCAGTCTATCTACTTTGATGAACCCTCCTCCTCTCATGACACAGATGTAAGTGCAACTACATTTGTATTTAAAGCAGGGTTTTCAGGCATCATTTATTTAAATGAAGTAGGGAAATATTTAGACTATAGATGTATATGGTCTCAGCTCCAAGGCTTCCAAAACGGTCATATATTCTGGACAATTGTGTAATGTCCGGTAAAAGTCCGGCTGGGCAAAGCATGAAACGGTCATCTACTTTTTAGTTGTCAAGGTTTTCTTAAGAGATGGTCATTTTAGCATAATTCGCGATCTTTTTGACCCAAACTTTTGCCTTTAACAGCCACACATTTCCGGTCATAAAAGTGACATGATGATTAATTACTATCAAAACAACCCCTACTTCAATACTTTCTAATTTTAATAAAGGCTAATTAGTTGTTGGACAGCTGAAATCTACCTGTTCAGGTGACAGGTAAACTATTTCCAGTACCAGACATCGTATAAATTGATCGGTCTATTCAAAGTTAATTTCTTACATTTCAGCGGTTTCTATCTAATTGATTTAGTCCAAAAGATTGAAATTATAAGAAATACGTTTATAAACATGATTTGATGAAAAATTTAAAAAGGTTTTAAATGAAAATTGCAAGAACTACGTTGTATGAACTAGAACACATGTGCGCAGTAGGGAAATTTAATTATGCATCCTACATTTCTTAAAAAATGATAAAATTATCATTGATACCTGTATCTAACGTTCATTTCAAGTATTTTGTTGAAGAAATAACGTGGAAAGAGCTTCTTCACTCAGTCGTGCTTTGTAAACGTACACGGATTTTACGCATCCATTTCTGGTCCATGTTTTACCATTGTCAGGTCAACATCCGGTATTAGGAAAATGTGATTTTAAAAACGAAAGTAAAGTTTTTGACAACGTAATTTTGCACAAATAAAGAGTCTAAGGCAGTTATGAGCACGCTGATGTGCACACTTCGAATTATGCACTGCCAATTTAACAGTTTACGTCCGAACATCAAATTCACATCAAAGTAAAGTTTAATATCGTTTTTTTTTTTAATCTAATGTCAATCATTGGGATGGCATTCTGATAACCATAATTGCCTTTTGTGACTTAGTCTTAAGGGATTAAAATCGGGATAAGGTATAAAATGTCCGGCTGGCTCAAATATTTTTTGGAAGCCCTGCTCAGCTCATGTATGCGGTATACCATCTTTTCCGCAAGTTTATTGTTTTCTTTTTGGTATTAAATTAATAATGAAGATCCATTTTGTTACATCTGGTAATCCATTTATTTGGCAATCGCCATGGCAGTCAGCAGAGTTTAAGAACATCCGTTGTTCGACCTACTAGTCAAATGTGTTTTGTTAAAATATACTTTTTCACTTTTTTGGTCTTTTGGAAAATGTTGTTTGTGCTGTATTTAGACCCCTCTACCAAGAAATTTGTTTTGCATGCACACGTATAAAAATTGCGGTTTTTATCCAACGCAACCATAGGTTTGAATGTTGTTTTCAATTTAGACTTGTTTATATGTTTTCGTTTGGGCTGGTATTATATTTGCCTTCGGGTTTATATGATCCGTTCATCCTATTTCGACTCTTCAAAATTCAAGAGTCTATCCTAAATTGAGGTAAATTATATGGCCTTCCAAATACCATTTCGATTCCTAACATTTCTGAAGAGACATTAATTGTCGAAATCCGGATATGGTATACAAATTTTTGCACCTCATGTTTGCAGTATACCATCTTTTCTGCAAGTTTATTGTTTCTTTTTTGTATTAAATTAATAATGAAGATCCATTTTGTTACATCTAGTGATCCGTTTATTTGGCAATCGCCATGGCAGTCAGCAGGGTTTAAGAACATCCGTTGTTCAACCTGCTAGTCAAATGTGTTTTGTTAAAATATACTTTTTCACTTTTTTGGTCTTTAGAAAATGTTGTTTGTGCTGTATTTAGACCCCTCTACCAAGAAATTTGTTTTGCATGCACACATATAAAAATTGCGGTTTTTATCCAACACAATCATAGGTTTGAACGTTGTTTTCAGTTTAGACTTGTTTATGGTCTCAGAATATATATACATGTATACATTCAAGTTTATTTAACTATGAATAAAATCAAATGTGTGTGTGTTTTTCAATGACAACTCAATTTACAATAAAAACCATTTGTTTTGCTATTTTTCTCTCTAGCATTTTTAAGGTACTGAAATCAATATTTCTTGAGGTGGGGGTGGGTGGGGAACAGCTATTCTCAGGTGTCTTAACCTTAGATTTAGCTTAGTTTCACCTGCATTATTTTGTTTTCAGCACAATATATATATTTTCAAAACAGTTCTTTATAATACATATATGATGTTATCTTTTAAGGACAAAGTTCCAGACTGGGTGAATGGAGAATTAACAAGTTCTGTTGGATCATCACTATTTAGATCTAACATTGGTAACCCAGCAGCATCGTCTACATGGAAGTCCTTACCATCTCCCATCTCCCCACAGAAATCCAGAAGGTATTCTAAAATCCCTAAACCAAGGAGGTATCATTCATATTCATGTAGATGTTTTATGGAAGCTGGCATGCACAAGAAATGAGGACATTTTTTTATTTCATGGCTTGATGTCTTTTTTAGTTTGGTCTTTTAGGCCATGCAACATAAATTTTCTGGTTCTCAGATATTTTGAAAAGATATTTCTTTGATTGATGTGTAATTGATTTATACATTTTGTAAAAAAATAACATGGTTAAACCTGTCTAAATTGATATCACTTTTAGGAATGAATAGTTTGTTCAGTTTAAACAGGGTTTAGGTTTCAACAGGTTAAAAATATATTGATGTTGGGTTACTTATTTGTTAACCAAAATCTAGCTGGTGTTCAATTTTGAATATATTTTAATTTTATTTTATTTAATTCACGATTGTTTCAATGTTTCAAGAATTGACACCAAATATACTTTTCTGTAACTCCATTAAATCTACGATTGTCATATGTTTTGCCTTTACAACTATTTTTTTCTATACATATAAACTTTTTGAACAGCTCTTGATACAATATGAATTGTTATGACCAGTTGAAAGAGAGTTGGTTTAGACTGGATTCTTTCTGCTGCAACCTAGATTTTTTTAACAGTTTTTTTTCCCAAACTAATAAAAATATGTACCTAAAAAATTTTTAACTAATTTTATACAAAATATTAAATAAATGTCCTTATAACAACACTAAATGCTTAGCTTTACCATTCAACCACTGACATTTATAGATGCTTCACACACTTTGCTTTTTAATTATGGTTATAGATATCTTGGTAATGTAACACATACATAACATGTATAAGATGATTTTTTAAGATAATGTTATATGTATTTATTAATGAGATTGAATCGTTAAATTTTACATTTATTATTATAAATTGTTTTTGCATACATAAGTTATTTCAAAACATTTGTTATTGCACACTATTAGAAAGAAAAAATTTATAAAAAAAAGAAGATTCATCTCCACTACTGTAGATTAATCCAGATTTGCATATCGGTACATGTTGTATGCCTGCCATATAAACATCCATCTTTCAGTCTGTAGAGATAACAAGGAAATCATTGTACCTATTAAAACTTGTATGAAAAAAAGAGCTATGGATATATTGGTGGAGGGGGGGGGAGGGGGGGGGAATGCCATTGGTACAATTATCCATAAAGACCAAAGCACTAAGATATGAACAATTATAGGTCACCTTAAAGTCTTCCAACAATTAGCAAAAACATATACCATACAGACCTTTTTATAAACTTTATCTGTTTATTGGACTGAATTATATCTAATATAGATTGAATTTAAGACATTACGTTATAAAAATGAAAAATTGAATTGAAACTTTATATTGTCTGTATTCATCTGATTATGATTAGATATTTTATCTTTTATATTAATCAATTGCTATGTAATTACAGACGAGCTTATACCAGCATAGGAATAGATTTAGACCGGGATCCAGGATACACATCTCCTAGCAGAGGTCTAGAAAAACCACAGCCAGGACCATATGTAAGTTTGGAAGGATTGTCAGTATTCTTAAGTTTATTTCAGGAAAGTATATAAAAAATAATACACGAGATTTTGTTCAGAGAAATTCATCATGTACTTTTAGGTTGTGATTTCATTGTTCAAGAACCTAAAGCATTCTGGGTAATTTGTTCCCATAAGTAAAACAAAAACTCATGATTTTTAGCAGTATCCTAAACAATGTTTAAAAATAAGAATGGTTGATTAGAGTCAAACATGACAGAAAATACTCTTAGATACCAGGACCTGTTTTTACCACTCATTAAGGCTACTCAATTTATTTGCATTGTTGATAAGAAAGATAATTGACCACAGACAAGTGTAGAAATGGTTTAATCTAAATGAATTACCGATTCCATGAAAATTGATACATCTTTTTGATTATTTATTGGAAGGTATACACAAGTCATGTCTTTAATTTAATTTTTCATTTGCATATTGTTAATAAAAGCATCATATCCCCTTGGTTTTAAAACATAATAATGATGCATGAAATCTGTATATCTCAGGAATTAGTATGACTCAAAACAAATACATTACTTGACAGTTTTCTGCATGTTAAATGATATAATGTCTTTGTTTTGCTTTTCAGTAGATATGCATGTAATTTCTAAATGTACAATAAATGTTAAAAGTAATGATACATTGTATGTGAAAAGTCATTCAGAAACATTCATTTTACTGTTTTTTCTTCATTCATTTTTAAACCCATATTCTCTCATTCCATTCTTTCTTTTTCACATCTTTTACTTTCATACATTCTTCATCTGTTCTATCATGCATTCTGCTATTTTGACATTTCATTTTACTAATCTTTAGATGGATCAGTAATTTGCTTAATATGGGTTGACTTTGTTTGCCAAAAAGTATTTTATTCAAAATATATTGTGGTGGTATGTTACATTTTATAGTCTTTAATCCTGAATTTTATAAAATATAGCTTGTACATGTGTTAACCTTTTTCCTTGTAAGTTGTTAATTTTAATTTCACTTTTTCAAGTGCTTGTATGTTAGAATTGAGGATGTTGAATTCAGTATTTTGTTCTGGTAAAACACAAATAAAACTATACTTGCTATATTAAAAAGGAAGGTATCTTGAAACAGGTGGTTTTACAAAAGCAATATTAAATTTAATTGCAAACAACTTTTTAAAAAACAACTTTTTAAAAGCTCTTAGTTTAAAAAAAATAAAACTGATTTGTTATAAAAAATTGGTTAACACATGTACTGATCTTTCTGCTAACAAGAAAATCAGTTACAAACATTTTTATGAGAAGGGAGACAATTCCCTGTAGATATTGTATATAACACTAGGTGATGATTTCAGGATGATAGTTTTCTGGGTAGAGGTCACCAGCAAGATCGAGTCCATTTTATGTCTGATGATGAAGGTAGTTATATAAAAAAGGGTGAGTGTCTCCTGTGACTTGCATGGTTTTGTTTGGCGGTACTCATTTGAATTGGGAGGAAACAGATGGGTTTGGGATTTGTTTTTGAGTCTAAAACTTCGGGAGAGATTAAAATACTTTTTTGCATGATAATTTGAAATGTTGTTGATCAACTAATTTTGGAATGGAAACTTTTTTTGTGTTAATCAAGGAGGAAATAATTGCATTTATGATGAGAACTTAAAGCTTTTCAGATATTTTCATTTTAAGCCTTTTCAGTTGTATAATTTGTCACAAAGAAAGAGCAGTTTTTAGTTTTTCAAGGAAATTTCAAACAAACATATTATGATATTACAGATAATAGATTTATAATAAATGTTATAAAGCTGCTTGAATGAAAATCGCATGTCCATTTAAAAGTTGATTTGCTGCCGGTTTATTTTTCCGATGCTTTTATAGTGCTATAATTGTAGTTTTCTTTGAACGTTAAATATATTATTGTTTTCTTTTTTTGTGTTAAAGAAAATTCTTTAAAAATAATTTATAAAGAGCAGGTAAAATTTCATATTTAAATTGTAATTTCAAATGATCCTTGCATGTTTTAAATCAGATGAACAGAAGAAAAAGAAAGATAAAATAAGGAAAAAGGTAAGAGCACAGTGAGAGACTTGGCATTTTTATTACGCAAGTCATAAAATGTTGTAATGTTGTTTGATTATAAAATATAGCTGGATCAATATCCTGGAAAAAACTGTATCGTTATTACTGATGTATATATGATCATTTATTTTTGTCGTTTTTACTAATGTAGATACATATATATCATAACATTTGCATACATTTATATATATATCATTTTCTGCTTTCCTTAATTCATATCATCATTCTTATATTTCTTTTCTTAGTCATACTTTTCAGGAAAATTTCCTTGCTATTTTCATATTTTCATATTTGATATTCAGTGTTTGTGAATTAAATTTTGTGTTATTATTTAGAAGAGATATAAAGCAAACATTTAAGTTTAAGATTTTGATTTTCAGGCTATGCATTATATGAGATTTCGTAAACGCAGTGTAACAAATTTTTTTAGCAATCTGCCTCATGCAGTTTGCTATGATATTATTTTATTTTATTAATAGTACATTCCATTTAAAAATCTGTTTGAATTTTAGAACCATATTTCCTCCAAAAATGATATTAACAATATAACTAATTATACAAATATAGCTAGAGCTAGCTTTTAGTGTATAGTGTAACTGCAATTAGCTCACAGCAGCTTCTCGTGTCTCAATTTTGTGAAACTTTCACTGGATCTTACTCGTGATGTACTTTTGCACCCCTGTTTTATTTCCTTATCTGAGTTATGTTTGGGGTTTTGCTTAGCAATTTATGGACTTTCCAAGGTGCCAGAAGTATCATTTTCTGAACTTTACTGGAAGTTCTTCTAGTTTTAATTGATATACAGAAGGACAATTCTGAAATGCCTTTATAATAAATAATCATGACACTTGACCAATATAAGTTTTGTTACCGAAACATCAAACCGGTATGATATAGGTAACTGAACAGCATGGTCACAAGTTGTCAAAGAATGAACATGGCATTTTAGTTGCAATGCAATCAAATTGATTAACGTGGCATTAATTATGAAATTCTGTTTTGATGCACAACAAAAAGATATGTCTGTAATAACTTAATCTATATTTTACCAAAACCTTTATTAGTTATCATAAAACTGCACTTTTGGGAAAAAAATTCAGATTACATTCTGGAATAGAAAGAGATGGTAACAGTACTATCTAGTTGTAAACTGTGAATATGTAGATTTTTATTACGAATGATGAAATGTCCATAACATTGTATGAACATTGCTAAGGTATGAAATAGATTATAGTTTATTTGTTAACACATAATGTCAATAAATTACAAACGAAAGTGAACCAACGCCTGGTAAATCTGTAGTACGGTAGAGTCCCTGAAGTGGATACCTTGGGTATGCAGGGTCGTTATGATAAAGCACATAAAATGTAGAAAATTTTATAACAACAACACTTTAGGGACTGCTGCAAAAAATTTATCATCAGGATCTAGACACCATAACATGTTGATCAATAAATTTTCTGCAGCAGTCCCTAAAGTGTTGTTGTTATAAGACTTTCTAGCTTAATAATAGTTCAAATTTGTTCATATTATAATAGATTTTAATTTATTATAGGGTTCTGATGAAGAATTAAGTCAGCCATCACCTCCTGGCTATGAAACTGGTGGTGTGACCAATCTATTTGGAAGTAAGTTCATTGTCAAAAGATTTTTTAGTTGGATTTTGTGGATAAAATTTTTGTATAAAGATCAGTTTACCAACTTCTCCAATATACCTATTGATCTACTTATCTATGCTACAGACTTTGGTTTCTTGGAAGTATACTAGGCTTGACTGAAAAATTGTTGTTTGCAGTCTTCAGGATAAGCTTTTGCAGCCACAGGCAAGACACAAAATTTTTAGGAAAATTTTGTATAAATTCTATAGATCTGTTATAGATTTTAGAGTTTTGACAATAAGTCCAGATAGCCTGAACATGGGGGATTGAATGGGGGCACATCTATGGGGGCACATCTAGGGACACAGTGGGTATGCCCTTTAAAATCAGAAAAAAAATATCATCTTTAGGCATAGTATATTCATATGACTATAACAAAATTATGGATTTCATATGCTGCTCAAAATTAAACACCCATTAATAAATCAGTAAATAAACACATTAACATTTTCTTATTATGTATTTATATTAGTATTTTATGTGTAAAGATAAAACCGTAAATTTTTATTCAAACTCATTTTTTGAGTACAACTTCCGTAAACTTTAAGCTTTTATGTATAAATCAAAATCAACAAACTCGATTATTTTCAGAATATCAGCTGTGTTGGTATGAAGTTCATAAACATGTATATATTTCTATCATTGTTTATTTTTACTTATATTTGAAACTTTTGTTTGTATTTTCAGCTACTACAGGAACTACATTCTTTGATGATCATACAAAAGACTATGGAAAGGAGGTAAAACGATATCTTTTAAATGTTGTTTTTTTGAAAGTTTTATTATGGTTAAATTTAAGGTAGATCGGATGTCTTTTTCTGAGCATCCATTCTGGTCATGTTGCAAAAATACTTTTTTTATTTAAAAATATTATACCAAGTATCCTTCAATATACAACAGAAAGATCTAAAATTTGAAATTCAAAGATTGAACTATCAAAAAATTAAGTACCATTAAGTGTATTTAAAATTTAAAAAAAAATCCTTTTAAAATGAAGGGCAGATAATTATATTGAGTTTTGATAGGACAGTTTTTTTTTGTTTTTTTTTTAACTTTTCAAGAAAATAAGACCCATGACCCACTATTTTTATTTGATATTTAGGATGTATTTATGATAAATTTAGACACCCTAGCTACCTTAAAATTGTGTTTTCAACAAGTTAATATGGAATACAGTCCTTGTATTTTATAAATATTACTTTTGATACCCTTATTTATATTTCTTTGTAATGTCTTCCAAATTGAAAGCTTGGATACATTTAATTTCTGTAGAATATACAAATGAAGACCAAAATGCTGGAAGCCAGATTCCATGAAGAAAAATTAAAATTACAACAAAGACATGATGTCGCAGTTCAAAAGGTTAGTCTCATATGCATATTTATACCTATGTTAAGGTTTATGATAGATGTAAGCTTAAGTTACCTGATTTATTTCAACTTTATTTCATTTTTCAGTTGTAAAGTACAGTAAATGACAAAATTTTCACTCTGTTATATTTTTGCTGACTTCATATTCATGCAAATTGCACAAAATATTCCCTGTGCAAATAGTTAGTAGAAATAAACATACAATATTGATTTAAATGAAGAGCTTATCGGTCGTTGTGAAAATTTGATTACCCACAAAAAGTATGTGCATACAAAATGCAAAAGTATCCATGCTTTTAGTAAACATTTTGCACCACTATCCCAATATTAGGGGGATGGTTGGGCACCCACTAACATGTTTAACTATTTGCCAGTCCCAATTCAGCATCCTGTAATTCAGTGGCATTTCGTTCATTGTTTTTTACATACATCAGGCAGTTAGTTTTCTCGTTTGAATTGTTTTACATTTGTTAATTTGGGGCCTTTTATAGCTGACTATGCAGTTTAGGTTTTACCCGTTGTTGAAGGATGTACGGTGACCTATAGTTGTTAATTTCTGTATCTTTTGGTCTCTTTTGGAGAGTTGTCTCATTGGTCATTATTTTACAACTTCTTATTTTTATATATACCATCAAAACAAAAAGCTGTTCAGCCTTATTGAAATGTTTTATTGTAAGTCCTCTTGTGTTATAGATACTAGACAGGAAAAATACAGAAATTGAAGAATTAAAGGCTAATTACAGAGCTAAAGCTAAAGAGTTAGAAGATACTATTACAAAGTTGGAAAGAAAAAGTAAGTGTCAAAAGAGTTTTCTTGATAAATGTTTCGACAAGTTATGAATAAATTTAAGATCAACAAAAATCAACACTATATTTCTTTCAATAAATTACAAAAAAATTATGAATAGAAAACAAAGACAATCACTGGAAAGTTTCATTACATGAGACAGGCACTGACTTTCATCTGACAAGGTCAAACAAGGTTTTGGGTACTCAACTCTCTGCTATTTTTTCTCAATTAATGGTATAACAAAAATTACAGAGAAGAACATACAATAAAAATCATTCAGAAATGTACTTTTATATTCAATAATATTGGTATACACTAGTACAAGTAAAACACATGCAACTTTCATTCAACAATAAAATATACAAATTTTACTAAAGATGACCTACATATGGATATGTCTTATGATTGTTTTGTTTAGACATGCTTGTTGAAAGTAAGCCAATACTAAATAAAACTGTATCAAAGCATGCTCTTAGTTACTGAGTGCAAGGTCAGAGTATTAATTCTACTGGTATAGAAATTATTTTCCTTCACTCTAACCATGGCATCTTCAATCTTGTTACTTATAGACAAAAATGGAAAATCTTTCATATCTTATACCACTATTTTGTCGAAAGGTTAAAAGTCTGAAAACTTTTAAAAAAGAGCAGAAATGAATTGTCATTTGTTTTACAGTCCAGTCAGTTGTCAGAGATTCTCAGAATGTCAGAGAAACAAAAGATAAACAGATTGCTGAATTACGGAAAATGGTGGAAGATACTACAGAAAAACGCAAAAGCGATTTTGAGAGAAAAGTATGATTTCTACATTATGTTTTTAATTTGTTGGTTTTTTGTAACATCTTCAATTCATTTGTGTGTAGAAATTGTAAGTGAGAAATAATGGAAAATATTCTACATGAACTTATTTTATTTATTTTATTTTCTTTTAATCTTCCTTAATATAACTACCGTTCACAAGTTCTTAAACTTGAAGAACAATTATTAGTTTTTTCTGTTTTGATGCAACACAGGGTCAGAATATCCAGTTTAAGAAAAGCCCACCAAGAGAGATATCTTACTTTAGCATTGAAGATTCAATATCAAGGTTAATATAGGGATAGGACTGAGGACAGTAGTAGTATTACTTAGAAATAAAACCAGGAAATGTCATTATTTTAAAATTATATTCTTGATCTTATTGCATAGGAAACATGATTGATTTATTATGTTACTGAAAGAGGAAGATGTTTTACCTTTTTGCAGGAAATTTGATGTTTAGAGTTTTATTTTACTTTCAGTTAACAGATTTACAAACTGAATTTGAGCAAGAAAAGTTTGAAATGCAGAAACAACATACAAAGAATATCCAAGAGATCTTAGATGACACCAACGCAAGACTACAAAAAATGGAGAAGGAATACAGTCAACAGACTCAATCAACAGTAAGTTGATTATTGATTATACACCTAATGAATAGAATTTTAAAAACCAAAACCTTTCATGTGGTAACCAGTTTTCTTGGAACTGGTTAGTTTTGAGTTGTTCTATAGTAACCATAAATTTGATTATGTATTTTGCCTCTTGTTACACATCTATATGTGTCCGAGTGTTTCAAAATAAAGTATATTGTATTATTGTATTGAATTTAATCTATTCAATTAGTTGAATATTTGTAAGGTTTTGAATTTAATATTGCTCAGATTAAATCCCTTGCCTTAGATGACTTTTTTTTGATTTACCAGGGTTCCTTCCTTCTTAGCAACAATTTTAGTATTAACACCTGCCATTTTGAGATACTGTTATTTTTGTCAACACTTTTGTTCTTTGTTAGTTTAGCAAAAATATTTTAATTTTCAGACATCAATAATAAAAGAATTAGAAAGTAGACTCCACCAACTGTTAGCAGATTCAGAACAAACTGCTAAAGCCAAGACAAATTTAGAGAGAGAAAAGATTGATGTTGAGAGTAAACTAGACAGACTGTCGTCTGATTACAGTGATCTGAGGGATAGGTAATATATTTCATGGATATTCAATGATTTATGCTATATACAAAGTACATTTAAAATCTGTCTACAGTGGATTCATTATTATTCGTTGGTCATAAATTTTTGCAGATTCTGTGGGTAAAGATAACTTACACATTTAAATGTTTAACAAAACGTAAATTCTCATAGGCTTGTATATAAACTCTAGCAAAACAACGAAATCAAGTATCCACAAAAAATACAATTTTTTTTTTATCTACTAAAATTTGAATCCACAAAAATATGTGAATCCACAGAATATAGAATGCCTTTGGGAGAAAAGATTTTGTTTGGTTAAGACAATTGTTGGTTTACAAACGTTTATTTTAAAAACATTTGCTTTAAAAAAAATTAACTTGTATCTTTCTATATGATAATTTTCCATCTCACAGTAATCGATGAAAATGGGTTTTTACTGTGCATATTGCTATGTGTTTCTTTATTCTACATTGGCTAGAGGTATAGGGGGAGGGTTGAGATCTCACAAAACATGTTTAACCCCGCCGCATTTTTGCGCCTGTCCCAAGTCAGGAGCCTCTGGCCTTTGTTAGTCTAGCATGTTTTTTGATTTTAGTTCATTTATATGTTTTGGAATTTAGTGTGACGTCCATTTTCACTGGACTAGCACACAATTTTTTTTAGGGGCTAGCTGAGGACCACCTCCGGGTGCGGGATTTTCTCGCTGCATTGAAGACCCATTGGTGGCCTTTGGCTGTTGTCTGCTCTTTGGTCGGGGTTGTTGTCTCTTTGACATATTCCCCATTTCCATTCTCAATTTTATTTTCTCAGTCATGTAGAAAGAGAATGTGATGCCTTGGAAAATAGGAATAAATATTATTCATGTTTTGTTTTTTTCACACGATACACACTCAACTTATCTCAGGGGTGTCTACTTCAATTAGATGAGATGAGGTTGAGAACAGATGAACAAAAATGTATTTTGATACAAGATAAAGTAATCATACTACCAATTAAGTATAACTGTGAGGTCAATAGAACCTGTGACCAGATTAGGATGTTTTACATTTAAGAGACAGACTTAAATATGTGTTACTGGATAAGAAAAAGTACAACAAGAATGTCTATTTTTTACAGTCATAAGAATTTGGACAGAGAACATCAAAGAATGATAGAAGCTCATAACCAGGAGATGAGAACCATAAAGAATAAAACTGATGCTAGTCTGGAGTTTATGAAACAAGAGCATAACTTATCTTCTGCTAAGGTTTGTACGATCAGTTGAATCATTGGATGAAATAAGCTTCAATGTTAACATGTAGATTGTCAAATCCTTGTTGGAAGAGAATTTGGAATACTATAAATCAAATTATTTTTGCTGATACATTTTTCTGTTAAACCCTGGCAAGCTGACATTACAGAAATTTATTTCGCCAAATGAATTATTCATATTATAACCGTATAAAATATACTAAACTTTAGTTCTTTTGTATTTATTTTAATCTTTCCCAATCATGCATTCAAGCGCAAACACCAGAATTCATGTGGCGACAAATATGTTTTTCTAAAGTATTTGCCTTTTTGGCTGCGTTATGCTCTAAATGCATCCATTGGGTATTTCCCTAAGCTAAAATCTATCAAAATTTAAAACTGTCTTTAAGTTTGTACTATATACAGATTAAATCAATATTTAGGGAAATTGTAAGCATTTTCAGTGTTAAAGGTGTCCTTTTAAGGAAAAAAGAGAAACTACTAAACAGGATGAATTCATATTTGTTCAGCAGCTTGAAACTGTTGAGTTATAACATGTGAGCACTTTTCAAATCTTTCAGATACCTGCTTCCTGTTTGCTTATACTATGATTTTTTTTCATGACTCTCGTGGGTTGAAAAATAACACAAATATAAATATTCACGAATTTGTTAAACTTTGATCTTCCCTTATGTAATTACGTCAAGAAAATTTGAAAATCATGAAAATAAATCGATGGAAATTTGTAAGAAAGGGCTTTACACAAAATAAAGTATCCACGAAAATAAGTTGTTTTATAGTACATTGATTTGATATTTACAGGCCACAGATACTATATCAGATTTAGAACAGTCAGTTGATCAACTCAAGCGGTCACTGAAAGATGCAGAAGAACAAAGACAAAGACAAATAAGGGTATGTATCGAGATGTTCTAGCTACTGAAAGTTTTAATATATATTATTTCATGACTGCGACTAAAAATGTGGTAAGTTTTTTTTGTTTTTTTTTCTAGTTGTTGTTCGAGAATCATAGATTTATATGTCTTGAATATCTAAGACTTTTTTAAACACAGTGCTTCAATTAAGAATCCAAATGTATTTAAAATGATATAGAACTTTGGAGCATTTCTTTGTTTATTTTATGATTTAATGCTATTAAGGGTTTATTAATACTTGGTAAGTGACCGTTGAATGGTCTTCACATTATTTTTTGCCAAATTATGTTCTCTGGTGTTAAAAAATTTATTGATTATATATGTTGAATGTTGGATTTTAAAGAAATAAAGAGATTAAATAAATATATTTTATTTCAGTTCCTCTTGCATGATAAAAATATAATAATTTAAGTTTATATAAAGTTATTATTTCGAAAGTATAAATTAGTCCTTAATTTATTTCTCCAAAAATATATGTTTTTGCATCGTTAGATTGTACAGGCAGAAATTCTTATGTTTATCCGGTTTAAGGTTATACTTTTTTAATGTTGAGATATAATTTAGAATTTTTCATTTTTATTTCTTTAGGAAATGGAACAAGTACAGCAACAAGGAAAGATACATCTTGAAAACTTACATGATAAACAGGTAAGAATTCCTATGGTTTTCACGATATTTCATTAAAAGATGTCAGTCAATGGATTTGGACTATTCCATTTGAAGGATTGTTCAAAATCTCTCCTTGCCATGGGCCATTATTTTTGTTATTTTGGGACATGGATCAAATGTACAAATATCAAATGGAAAACCATCAATTACCAATAATCCATCTCCAAAAATTGAACTTCCCATAACTACCCTTAGATAAGACTGTCTTCTGCAACAGTTAAATATTATTGTATCTAAACCAAATTTTGTTTTTGAAGAAGTAAGTTTACTTGGTCCGATTTTTTTTATGCATCATGATATTACCATACACAGTTCCCAGTCAAAGCTTACAAGTTGTCTCCCTTTATAACATGTTAAAACTTAAAAGTTTTCAACTTGACTCCCTTTAATACATGTTAGAACTTAAAGCTTACAACTTCTCTGCCTTTATTACAAGTTAAAACTTAAAGTTTACAACTTGTCTCCCTTTATTACAGGTAAGAATTTAAAGCTTACAACTTGTCTCCCTTTATTACAGGTCAGAACTATGAAACTAGAAATGGAACATAGTGAACAGAGTCACCAGAAACAGGTTCATAAGTTAGAACAATCAATCAGGTAAGCTTATATTGTTACTTAACTTTTATGTAAACTCATTTGGTTATTCATACGATTATCATACTTAAGGGTATGTAATGCTGCTTTCCTCAAACATTATAAAAAGAAATTCACATAGGGAGTGAATTTGGGGATTTTCTTTTCACATGCAAAAACTTACTTTGGGTGATGCTTTGCTTGACGTCAATTTAAGCCAGAATGTTTTTGAAATTAAGAGTATTTTGTGAAAATCCAACAATATCAAAGTTATTATTTACAGCTTTGCTAAGGATTTATTTGAATGCAAAAGAAATGGTATAGATAATATAATTATATAATTTTTCCAGTGAATTTATGAAGCCAAGTAAGTCTGAAATACATGTACATACCTTTTACATTAGAACATCATGTTATCATTTTAGGGGGAAAAAAGTATTTGGTTTATATATTTTGTATATAATTTTTTTCTAAATTTGTAGGGAAAAAGAGGACGAAATAAAATCCCTACAAGAACAAAACAAACAACAGGCGGCTCAGTCTGAGAAGTCCTTGACCGATTTTAAAGGTCAAGTAGAGAAAAATCAGACCAGAATGTATGATGAAATGAAACAACAGGTATGTTTTACCAAATGACAAATTTACCTTATATTTATAAGCAAACATAATATTTTTTGTCTGTTTTTCTTCGGAAAATGATTATTGATGAAAAGTTCTGTAAACATTTTCTTAGTGTTGAAGGTCAAATGGTTGCCTATAATTACTTACATCCACTTCATTTGAACTTTGGTGGATAGTTGTCTCATTGGCAATCATACCACATCTCCTTATTTTTATATTTATCATACTCATCTATGTTTGGGCTGACACCATCTATGTTTGGGCTGACATCATTTGTTTAGGATAAAACAATCATGTTTGCAAAATAAGACAGAAAAAAATTGTTTATCAAGTAAATAAAAATTTACAAACTTTGTAAAACTGTACAATATTTTGGTACTACTCAGCATTAAAACTTTAACATTTTTTTCTCTAAGATTGTAAGGTTTAGAAAGCCCCTTTCTTAAAAAAAAAACCTATTATTTTGCTGAATAAAAAAAAAAAGCAAAAATCATTTATAATGCATTAGTTCTAGGGACTATTAAAGTTTTGTTTTGATTTGACTTTTGGAGTTTGATATAAATGTTTTATATGTGTTCCCTTCGATTTGAATTTTTACAAAAGTTGTATTTTAGAATTTATTAATTACTATTGAAGCTTGCCTCAAAGTGTTTGGTTATATTATTTAAGAATAAAAAAATAGGGTTGAAATAATGATATTGCAACAAATGACAACCTCTGAATTACATGCTCCTGACTTGGGACAGGCACATACAGAATGTGGCAGGGCTAAATATGTTTGCTGGGGCCAAACCTTCCAATATGATTTTTTTGAATAAGTTAAGAAGTATTAGAATAATTAACAATTTAATTGATTTTAAATTTACTTTTCATTTAGATGGAAAGGGTAGAAGCAGATTTGAACAAATCAAAACAAGTTAGAGAAAAACAAGCAAGAGAATTCCAGAAACAGTTAGATGATGAACGAGACCAGCATGAAAGAAGGGTAAGTCTTTCAGTGAAATATATCAATACTTTTTATTCCACCATCCGTACGTATGTCCCAAAATCGGTTTCCATTCTCTCACTTAAGTTTGCTTCAACCAAATGTTATGAAACTTATAGACAATGCTTATTACCACAAAACACAGATGAAGTTTGACTTTGGGTAGCGTCACTTTTACAATTCTCCACTTATGCCCCTTTATAACATTATATGGAAGCGGGGGCGTCATCTGTGTCCCATGGACACATTCTCCATTTATTTATGATAATCATATACTGTGGATTTTGTTTATTTTTGATGGTACCAATTTTTGTGCATAGAGGATACATGTATTTGATTTAATGGTTTTGCTGAAGTCTGCAAACATGCCTATGGAAAATTTGTATTTCGTTAAACATTTAATTTGGTTGTTCACCTATACCCACGAAAATTGGTACCCAATGAATAATAACGAATCCACAGTACATGCAATAGTAATAAAAAAATCTTGGTCTTTTAAGCATATTTTTATAGAGTTAAATGAAGTAGAGAGGCAGAGAAAATGGATTCTAAAAAATTTTTATAAACTGACCTCAAAACTAAGATTGTAAGGTAGAGCTTGTCAACTGAAAAATTGAACTTACAGAATGGAAGGTTACATCTATTGAAGAAATGCATTTTACAGCGTAGCTTCCCCCTAAAAAAAATCTAGGCACTGCACTATAGATTCAAAAACGTGAATCCACCAGAATTTTCTCAAGACCACATACTTACATATCAGAATGATTGTTCTAAAACTGTATTTTATTTTCCAACAGGAAGTAGAATTAAAGATGTCGTTAGAACAGGAGAAAGCTCAATACATGAAAGAGTTCCATCAACAGAAAGAAATGGTCCTCACTGAACATGACAGAGAAATAGACACAATGAAAGAACAACATAGAAATGAAGTATACGATGTAGAATGTAGGTTTAAAGAGAAACAAGATAAAGACTCAAAGGTAGCATTATTTCTTTGTATTATTATAGCATTATATATTATTAATGGTAAAATAACTAATTAAATATAGAAAAAATATTCAACGAGTGACCGAACAACACATTTATTCATGAATATGCATAGCGCATGATCTAATTATCTGTGTTGTTTGGTCACGAGTTGAATATTTTTTCGATATTTTGATTTTCGGATTAATTATTTTTTTACTTTATTGGCCGTGATGGACTTTTATAGAAATAAAGGTTAAAATGAATGGAACTATATCTTTTTCTACGCATTCTCAGTTGTTTTGATGCAATGTCATCAACAACCTATTGTCAACACCCATTGTTGTATGACGTTAAAGGAGTGAAATTATCAGTTTTATTTCACATGTGATTCATTGCAACCAATGTAATAAGTTATATATATTGTTAATTGATTGATATTTATCATTTCACTGATTGATTGATAGTTGCTTTGTATCATATCATAAAAGAATGGGTTAATTGCAGTAAATATGTGTAAATATCTATTTCATTTTTTATTCTATTAAAAACTGTCACATTTCTATTGGTTTTTGTTATACTTCTCCATAATGAAATTTGACGGCACTACTTATAAAGAAATTTTTTATACATAAACATGGATGTCTGATATATAAAAAAATAATAATTTTTGGTTGTTTTTAATCAAAATTGACATTATTAATTATTAAAACACACTATTAACATACACAATTTTTTAACAGAAAATTCATATGATGGAAAAACAAATCCAGGAATTAAGGGAAGAAGTTGTACAAGCTAATCAACTACGCAAACAACAGCTTGTAGAACTGGGATTGTTAAGAGAGGAGGAAAAACAAAAAATGCAGAGAGACCATGAGGCAGAGGTTTGTCTTCTACAAATTTGTACTGTTATTAAAATTTTTTTGACTAATTAAAGATGTTTTGTTACAGATAGTTGAAATAATAGCATTTTATGAAATTTAAATTTTTTGTAAGGCAATATAATCAATTGTTCAAAATAATGGAAAAGAGATATGCCAGTGTGCATACTTCTATGATGTTAGTATTTAAAGATAACTTCCAGTTTGTGTAGGATATTAATGCACAGATTAGGTAAAAACGTAAGAAAAGTAAAAAAAGGTAAAGGAAGCATTTCTTGGTTTAAAGACGTATTTTTGAATAATAAAAAGAATGAAATGGTTGCCAGGCATTGATTTTCATTACATTTCTAGGGGGAATTCCCAAGAGGTTACAAAATATTAAGGAAAAGTTGAAAATGTGAACAGATATCCTGGAATCTAATTACCTGTTGTTTTAATCATCCTTTTTTTTTTGGCTTTTATATTAATTTCATTTATGATTTGAGGGTTGCAAAATTTGATAAATATAGAATAAGGACAGACATGACTTCTTTTTTTAAGAAATGTAATCATTTGTTCAGACATTTTTCTTCAATCAATTTTATTAATAGGTTTCTAAACTGAGATCAGAGATGGAGCAGCAACGACTAGAATTACAGAAATCACACAGCACAGAGTTAGAGAAAATGTTAGAAAAGGTAATTACCTATATTGATAAGTCAGAAATAAATGACATGTTTCTAATGCTGAAAAGTCAGACAGGATTAAGCAAATAGTTCATGACAAAGAGAGCCGTATGGCAGTTTTTAGAACAAGAACAGGCTGTCATTTAAAAAAAAGGAATATGAACTTGAAGCAAATCTGAGTGGCAATGTCATTTACAAATGATCCTATTTACAATAAATTATAAACAGCAATACAAAACTGAATTCGAAAATAAATATTGTGTTCCTTCATTTTTAAACACCCGTTTACGGGACATATTATGGTATACCGTTATCCGTCTGTCCGTCCGTCCATCGCCTACATGTTGGACTATAACACTTAATCTAATTTGCATTAAACTTTGGTGAATTGTTTATATCTATTGATGGGAGCTCCCTTTGGATTTTTATAAATTTTAGATTTTGTGTTTACCAGTTATGGGGTTTTATTCATTAAAAAAGGGTGATTTTACACTTTTCAGACAATATCTAAAAAACACTTTTACCAATTTGCAAGAAAGTTTGGTGACTTGTTTATATCTATTGATGTGAGCTCCCTTTCGATTTTAATGAATTTTATATTTTACGTTTCCGAGTTATGGTTTTTTGTCGAGCCTTCGACTTTAGTCGAAAAAGCGAGACATAGCGATCCTAAATTCCGTCGTCGTCGTCGGCGGCGTCCACAAATATTCACTCTGTGGTTAAAGTTTTTGAAATTTTAATAACTTTCTTAAACTATCTTGGATTTCTACCAAACTTGGACAGAAGCTTGTTTATGATCATAAGATAGTATCCAGAAGTAAATTTTGTAAAAATAAAATTCCATTTTTTCCGTATTTTACTTATAAATGGACTTAGTTTTTCTGCCGGGAAATATTACATTCACTCTGTGGTTAAAGTTTTTAGAATTTTAATAACTTTCTTAAACTATCCTGGGTTTGTACCAAACTTGGACAGAAGCTTGTTTATGATCATAAGATAGTATCCAGAAGTAAATTTTGTAAAAAAATAAATCCATTTTTTCCTTATTTTACTTTTAAATGGACTTAGATTTTCTGCCAGGAAACAACACATTCACTCTGTGGTTAAAGTTTTTAAAATTTTAATAACTTTCTTATACTATTTTGGATTTGTACCAAACTTGGACAGAAACTTGTTTATGATCAAAAGCTAGTATCTAGAAGGAAATTTTGTAAAAAAATAAATCCATTTTTTCCGTATTTTACTTTTAAATGGACTTAGATTTTCTGCCAGGAAACAACACATTCACTCTGTGGTTAAAGTTTTTAGAATTTTAATAACTTTCTTATACTATTTTGGATTTGTACCAAACTTGGACAGAAGCTTGTTTATGATCAAATGCTAGTATCTAGAAGGAAATTTTGTTTTCTTCCAGTTAACATTACATTCAGTCTGCAGTTAAAGTTTTTAAACATTTATTAGATTCATAAACTATCCTGGATTTTTACCAAACTTGGACAGAAGCTTCTTACAATCAAAAGATAGTTTCAAGAGGAATATTTTTATTGATTTACTTCCTCATTTTTGTTGAGCCTGCGATTAACAGAAAAAGTAGGCGAGACACTGGGTTCCGCGGAACCCTTACGAATTTTTTTTCATTAAAAAAGGGTGCGTTTCCAGTTTTTGGACAATAACTCAAAAACTCTTTGAGCAGTTTTCATGAAACTTTGGTGAATTGTTTATATCTATTGACGTAAGCTCCCTTTTTGTCGAGCCTTCGACTTTAGTCGAAAAAGTGAGACATAGCGATCCTACATTCCGTCGGAGCATCGTCGTCGTCGTTGTCGTCGGCGGCGTCCACAAATATTCACTCTGTGGTTAAAGTTTTTGAAATTTTAATAACTTTCTTAAACTATCCTGGATTTCTACCAAACTTGGACAGAAGCTTGTTCATGATCATAAGATAGTATCCAGAAGTAAATTTTGTAAAAAAATAAATCCATTTTTTCCTTATTTTATTTTTAAATGGACTTAGATTTTCTGCCAGGAAACAACACATTTACTCTGTGGTTAAAGTTTTTAAAATTTTAATAACTTTCTTATACTATTTTGGATTTGTACCAAACTTGGACAGAAGCTTGTTTATGATCAAAAGCTAGTATCTAGAAGGAAATTTTGTTAAAAAATAAATCCATTTTTCCGTATTTTACTTTTTTTAATTTTTTGTTTTCTTCCAGTTAACATTACATTCAGTCTGCAGTTAAAGTTTTTAAACATTTATTAGATTCATAAACTATCCTGGATTTTTACCAAACTTGGACAGAAGCTTCTTACAATCAAAAGATAGTATCAAGTGGAATATTTTTATTGATTTACTTCCTCATTTTTGTTGAGCCTGCGATTAACAGAAAAAGTAGGCGAGACACTGGGTTCCGCGGAACCCTTACGAATTTTTGGTTTTTATCAATTTTAGATTTTACGTTTCTGAGTTATGGGATTTTATTCATAAAAAAGGGGTGATTTTCCAGTTTATGGACAATAACTCAAAAGTGCTTTGAGCAGTTTTCATGAAACTTTGGTGACTGGTTTATGTCTATTAAAGCAAGCTCCCTTTAGTTTTTTATAAATTTCTGATACGACATTGGGGAGTTATTGAACTTTGTTCTTTGAAAAAGCAACGGACGTATCATGCGCTCATGGCACAGCTGTTTATTAGAATTTTCATGTTTATTTCACCTCTTTATTTACATTTTGTATAGTTTCATACTCACTACTGCAAATTTTATAGAAATTCCTTCCTAAATTAAAATATTTACACCATGATATTTATGTTTTAGACCAACAATAGACTTAAGGATATAGAAAGAGAATATAATGAACGAGGAAACCGAGCAGCTGAGGTAAGGATTATTCAATATGAATTGCATGATTTCTTATAAAAGATTTTAGAAAACTTAGTGTAAAAGTTTTTTTACTGATTTGAGTGCACATATCATAAGTTTCTTGAATAACTTTCATCAAGTATAATACTTTTAAGATCATCAATCAAAAAAGAGTAAATAAAACAGCCAAAATATATATAGACCTATTTGGAGTGAAATTTTATGAAGGAATTACGCTAGTTGACACGAGGTCAATTTGTTTGAATGGCGTTATTGAACAATCAACTCTTACTGTTACCTAATATCATTGTGACATTGGAAAATATACCGGAGAATGCACAAATGTGAAAGTCGTCTATCAAAGAGATATAAGAAGATGTGTTATGAGTGCCAATGAGACAACTCTCCATCCAAGTCATAATTTGTAGAAGTAAACCATTATAGGTCAAAGTACGGCCTTCAACACAGAGCCTTGGCTCACACTGAACAGCAAGCTATAAAGGGCCCCAAAAATGACTAGTGTAAAACCATTCAAACATGAAAACCGACAGTCAAAATCTATTTAAAAAACGAGAAACAAGAAACACTTATGAACCACATCAACAAACGACAACCACTGAACATTAGGTTCCTGACTTAGGACAGGTGCAAACAAATGCAGCGGGTTTAAACGTTTTAATATGTGCCAACCTTCACCCTACCTGAAACAATAGTGTAACATCACAACATAGAAAGACACACTATAAAATATCAATTGAAATGGCATAACTCAATCAAAGTCAACTTGAACATAACTTAATAGTATTTTAAATTTTGTCATGCATAGTTCACAAACATTTTAAAAATATCAATTTATCTTATTCATGAATATATTTTAATTGAGAACTTTATTTTCTAAATTTTCAGACAATTAATGAGCTGCAGAACACAATAAGTCATCTTAGGGATGAAATCAAAAGGTATGCAACTATCTTTATCTGTAATAATTTATCCCTCTTCAATATTTTACATATTCTGTTTCAAAAATTGCTTGAATAAATAATTTAGTTTTTGTTGCTTATCTTTCTTCTTTTAGCTTTTTTCTGTTAATCTTCTTTATTTTATCTTTATCTGTATATTTTCTTGCTTTTGGCTTTTTTGTTTATCTTCCTTCTTTTAGCTTTTTTATTTGTCTTCTTTATTTTAGCTTTATCTGTTCATCTTCCTTCTTTAAGCTATTTTGTTTATCTTCCTTCTTTTAGCTTTTTTATTTGTCTTCTTTATTTTAGCTTTATCTGTTCATCTTCCTTCTTTAAGCTATTTGTTTATCTCCTTCTTTTAGCTTTTTTCTGTTTATCTTCTTTATTTTAGCCCTTAATTGTATATCTTCCTTCTTTTTTTAAAATTGACTTTTTACTGGTTCAGGAAATTAAAATACAAAGTATTTTATAAAGATATAACCAAGTGTTTCTTCGGATATTTTTGTGTGAATAAATATGTAATCATATTTGGTTATTTTAAATCTGTGATTTTGACCATCAAACCTGAAAAATAGCTTTAAGTTGATGAAAATTGTATTCAAATTGATTTTTTTTGCAGGATTAAAGAATCTGGAGATAAGAAATTGAAAGATACGACTACAAAACAGGAAGATGACAGAAGGAATATGAAGAAAAACTACACTACTAATTTAGAGGTAAAAAATTGTTTAATTATTTTTTTAGTTATGTTTAGAAATGTATAGCGTTTATATATAGATTTTAGGGATGAGTTCAGCGGAATACTACATTTCTCTACTTAAAATTATACATTTTTAGAAAAAAATACCAGATTTGTTTAAATCCTATCATATATTGGAAAATTTAACTTGTAAGAATGTAATTTCAGTGATCGAATCTCTTACTTCAATGATATTGGTCAAATATTGGGACCTTTTCTAGAAATGTGCAAAAAATTTAGTTTGACATTTGTTGCCATAGATTTTTTTTCCCATGCTGTCACTGAAGTAATATCATTCAGTAATTAATTGAACTTCTGCAAATAAAGAGTTCAGAACATGCAAACCACATGTTATAAGAATCAGCAACTGGTTTGCAAAGATTTAAATTTTTGCAGAATTAAAGGACAGATATGGAGGAAATATTTGATTAATATAATGCATTTTAACAGTCATTGCAGTACACTATAGTTAAACTAGGTATACCTTCACCAGTTGTTCTCAAAGAATGATTTGTTTGAACTAAAAGTATTACATAAAATTAGATAAATGTGCTGCAATAAATTTATTCTGAAATTTTCATATATTGTTTCTTTAGAGCATGAGGAAAGATAATGAATCCCAACACAACAGAAATAGAACATTAGAGAGACGAATAGAACAGATGGAGGCAGATCATGAGGAAAAGGTAATTGTGACATTCGATTGGAGATTATTTCAAACTGGATATGACTAAAAGGAGATTTGTGGTTACTGGTATATGTCAATACAACAGCAATGTAACAATAAAAAAAAACAACATCTAGAGGTCAACATACAGTCTTCAACAATAGACAAGGGTCTGAATTGGGTTTACAGAATAGAACATAATGGGCAAAAAGTGCAGAATAAATGGCTAAAATAATAAAGAATAGAGAAAAATAGGCCAAAAAAATTGGTTTACAAATTTAAGGAATAAAGAAATGAAGGACCCCATCCAGACCCTCATAGACAGGTTCTATATCATATGTAAAGCTCTAAATCTGAATTCATGTTTTTTGGGAGATAACTTTATACTATAGATTCTACCACTGCATCGAGTGTGGTATGATAGTTCAGAAGTTTTGATTTTATTTGATAATATTGCAGAGCAAATTGCTTCTTTCCTATAGAATTAATTATGATAACTATGTATGTTGGGTTGAGACTTTTTTGGTTGGTTGGTTGGGGGAGTTGGGAGGGGGGTGTCGGTGCCCAAGTGATCTAAGTAGTCGAACTACTGTATCACTAGCCTGTCAACATTGAGGTTGTGAGTTTGAATCGTGCACATGGCAGGTGCACTCGACTCCAATCTTAATTGACTAGGATTGTCAGTTTTCCTACCGAAGGTCATGGTTCTCTCTGGGCACTCTTGCTTTCTCCACCAATAAAAACTTGACTGCCACGAAGTGACACAGTAGTGCTGAAAGTGGCGCTAAATATCAATCAATCAATCAATCTTTGGTTGGGATAATAAAGGCTGCTAACAAATCCAAGGAGAAAATAGCACACAATTAGAAAATGAGGTCATAGGGTAAAAAGATCTATTGTATTTTTTTTTCCCCTTATTGTGAGAATACTAGGAAGTTCAGTTTTAGTCAAACACTAGCAAATTAATAATAATATTTTGTGTACTTCAGGTAACCCAGTTGAAGTTAGCATTTGAGGAGAAAATGAGAGGATTAATGCCATCATCAGTCAGACAGGTTAGTTATTATCATAGATTTCTAAAAAAAAAAGATTTAGAAATGCTGCTGCAGATTCATGTACTGTGGATGTACTTATTTTTTGTGTTTTCATGGATATTTGATTTCATGATTTCAAAATGTCTGTGTACATGCTTATAGAAAATTTGTACTTTGTTCTAAATTGATATTGGTGGTTTTCCTGTACACTCCATTTGTATGAAAAATGGTATATCACAAATAATAGTCCACAGTAAGAGCTAAAAATATTTTTTTTTAAAATCAGTAATTGAATGTAAATTCTATGTATAGGATGGATGGCTGTTTAACGTCCAGTGGCAAACAATGCATATTCAGGACGAGGAAAGTCGATGTAAATATTGAAATGTGTTGTAATATACCTTATTAGCAATATGTTATTATAAGAAGAAAGTGTGCAACATTTTTTCATCATCATCATTTCATCACCATTTGTTCATCTTGCACACTTTGTTGTCAATAATAATTGTTATGGTTATCGTCATTTAAAAAAAAAATACACCTGGTTTTAGCAATCACATTGTTTTGTTTCTGTCCTTGCAACGAATTTGGTAAAAAATACATGCATGATTTGATATGTTTAATTTGGCAGTTATGGAAATTTCAAATAAAAGTCAAACATGCAAAATTCTTTGTTTCAGGTGGATACTGGATTTGTGTTTTATCTATTCTTGGTCTTTGTTTGTTTTTATGATTTGCTAAATACTACTTAGTTTAGGTAATTTTCTGATGTGATGGCAAATGCACTATTGTTTAAACTGGCACATGTTTTAAATTGGGGATGATGAGAGGTGCTTTACATATGTCTAATCATATGATATGCATATTCATATTCAAAATGTCAAAGTGTTACTAAGATATGAGTATGCCCTGCTTTGTACTAGACTGACATGCTCAGCTTGATTTTGGAAAAGGTAATAGTTGGCAGGAAGACATGTCACCCTTTCAAGACACATTATTCTGACTTAGAGCTACCAGTGTTTTCTCTTACCCCTAAATATTGCATGCTTTCAGGAGAAGCAAAAAATACCAATTTTAGATTCTGATCTGTTTAGTCATTTAAACTATGAGTTTGCTATATTTTAGGCAGTAATTTAGGAGTTTAATTTGGGCCAGTTTGAGTAATGCAGAATTATGGATAGAGATAGCAAAAACAAATATCGTTAATTTTTAGGGTCCTCAAGGGTTTCTAGGGAAAGGAACATTTCAACCTCAAAATAAAGGGTCATTAGTTATAGAAATTGAAAACCATGAAATCAGACTAAGCAAATATGAATCAATTTCCATCTTTCTTTTTACCTGAATATCAATAAATATTCTATTAATATTGTCAAAACACTTCACATTCAGATTCTTATGAACTTTAAGACTGACAATTATTTTGAAGGGCTGATCAACAAATATGAATTTTATTTCATTGAAAGAGTCCAATCATTGTAAATATGTGGAATTGCCTTTTCCATTTGTTCATTGTGAGCAGCACTCCAATGTCTGCTTAAGTTTATATCTTATTTTTTAGAGTTTGTTGCTTATTTTTTTCTCATAAGTCTTCTTTAGATAGAGCAAAAGAAACAGAGTGGGCAGGGTTCCGCACGCACACCCTTTTCCATCTTGTGACACTGTCATGGAATACTAGTTCCATTCAATTATAAGATTAGTTCAAAATGGTAGAAATATTCTAGAATATTATTTCCTCTGGGTGAAATATTACAGTATTTGTTCCTGACAGAATAAAGGGTATAGAATATTTATTCCAATAGGAATAGATATCATAGTATTGTTTATAACAAAGTTTCCCAAGGAACTTCTGTACCAGTAAGAGGAACAAATATATGCTGACAACCATTCCCACTTTGGAAAAGCGGAAAAAGCAAAATCAGTTGAGTCAAAATGTGAAAATGCTTTATAAGATATGTATGCTATTTTGATTTGAACAGTAGTGAAGTACGTTTTAGTCATCAGTTGATTTGTAGTTTCACTTTAGTGATATGGACAGGTTGAATATGACACTGTGTTTGTTTGGTTTTCCACTCATCATCATTTTCATAGTTGAATTTTATAAATTGGTGTTGCACACTTTCAAATTTTGTAATGTACCCATTGACAAAAATGTATATGAAATATTTCTGCTTATCCTTAAAACTACTAAGCAAATTGAGTATGTCTTTTATTTTAGTTAATTGAGTTTTATATTTTTTGAATGGATGAATGTATTTTGTCTATCAGAATAAATATAGACTCTTTTTTACAGTTTACCTTATTAACATGAAATACCTTCTGAATTTGAATGAGATTTCCAAGGAGTTTTATTAAAATTACAGATCCTTTCATTGTTAATTTGAAGCATGCCGAGAAACAACTGCTCCTAGATAAATGGTTTTTAATTTTTTTTTCATTCTGGTCATGCTTTCAATTGGCCATAAAAGGTTCTTTCACATTGTACTGTAAATTCAGAAATGATTGTGTGCATTTATTATTGCATTTTTGAAGACTGAACAAAAATGCAAGATTAATTATTGTGATTTCAGGAAAAGCTTCATACAGATATATGTATCAGATGTCAGAATGCAAGTTCTTATTTTGGCATTACTCACCCAGTGGCAATATTCCGTATTATTGAAAACCTCCCAATAATTTCTGATCTTACAGTATTTGTATTCTATACTTATGCATAACACAAGGCATATTGACAATTTACAGACTTATTTTTATTTTTGTTTTTCTCTTTCAGGAGTTGGAAGACACCATTGACTCTTTGAAGTCACAAGTGAACTCATTACAACAGAAATCATTAGTTCTACAGGAGGACCTAGATTTGCGGAACCAGTACCCACAATTCTCAGCTAGTTCGCCAATCAAAGCATTATGACAGGGTCATGACCCACAATAAACTAAGCAATATCTGTGATATTATTGTATGCTCAGGCTACAACACTACGAAAAGTCATCCAACATAGAGTAGTAGACATATAAACAAAACTGGTATCCTGTTTTATATCTAGCATTGCTCATTGTTATCAGAATCCAGTTTTGTTCAGAATTATTTTCAGACAAGACATATCTAATAAAAGAATCATTTCCGGACTTGAACTGGGTGTTGATTTGTCAGATATGTCAGTGTGATGAAATGAAAGGGTATAATGGAATGTACTTGTGAAGAAGTTGTGTTTGGTTTAATATATGCAATCATGAATGGGCTGAAAAGAAAGTTTGAAATTTATTCCACATCTTCATGATCTTGCCATATATAAAATGCCAGTACAAAACATTTTTATTTTGAGTTTTGAAAAAAATTTTGAGAATGACAGAGTAAATGTAAAATAATATTGAATTACAAGTCTTTCTGATTTCCATTGTTTGAAAGATTTTCAGTAGTTGACAAAAACAACAGCTTGTTTTAAATTAATTTTGTTATATTTTAATATTATTTTGTTAGCTAGATAATTATATATTTTACATTTGTATATTACCATTTGTGCCATTGTTTATTTATTCTCTTTGTAAATAACAGCCATTCACTGCCGTTATAAAGTATAAATATATAATTCAGAAAGATTCTATCGATTTTATTTTTTTATTCCATTATTGCAGAAAGGATGATTTTGTATTATATATCATTTGAATGTATTATTCCGTTATCATATAAAAGAACAAACTTCTCTTAATTCAGTGTTTTATTCCATTATCTAATGAAAGGATGAATTTTCATACATTTCAACATTTTAATACGACCGCAAAAAAATTTTGCAGTCTTATATTGGTATGACGTTGGCGTCGTCGTAGTCGTCGTCCAAAGACACATTGGTTTTCGCACTCTAACTTTAGTTCAAGTGAATGGATCTCTATGAAATTTTACCATAAGGTTCAATACCACAAAAGAAAGGTTGGGATTCATTTTGGGGGTTATGGTACCAACAGTTAAGGAATAAGGGGCCAAAAATAAGCATTTTTGTAACTTCCAGACATAACTTGTGTGTTAGTGTATGGATCTCTCTGACATTGTACCACAAGGTTCCATATCACAAAGGGAATGCTGGGATTGATTTTGGGGGTAATTGCCTCAAAATTTTAGGAATTAGGGGCCAAAAAAGGGGCAAAAAACAAGCATTTTTCTAGTTTCATGACAATAACTTGTGTGTAAGTGTATGGATCTTTCTGAAATTGTACTACAAGGTTCCATATCAGAAAGGAAAAGCTGGAATTGAGTTTGGGGGTAATTGCCCAAAACGTTTAGGAATAAGGGTTCAAAAATAAGCATTTTTCTAGTTTCCAGACAATAACTTGTGTTCAAGTGTATGGATCTCTCTGAAATTGTACTGCAAGGTACCATACCACAAAGGGAAGGCTGGGATTGATTTTGGGGGTAATTGCCTCAAAATTTTAGGAATTAGGGGCCAAAAAGGGGCAAAAAACAAGCATTTGTCTAGTTTCAGGACAATAACTTGTGTGTAAGTGTATGGATCTTTATGAAATTGTACTACATGGTTCCATGTCACAAAGGGAAAGCTGGGTTTGAGTTTGGTGGTAATTGCCCTAATCATTTATGAATTTGGGGCCAAAAAGGGGCAAAAAAACAAGCATTTTTCTAGTTTCCAGACAATAACTTGTGTTCCAGTGTATGGATCTCTCTGAAATTGTACTGCAAGGTACCATACCACAAAGGGAAGGCTGGGATTGAGTTTGGGGGTGATGAATCATAAGGGGGTTCAAAAAATTGGGGGGGGGGGGGCTTTTTTTTCCTTTTTTTCCTTTTTTTTTCTTTAAAATTTTCCATTTTAAATTGGTTTAATTTCTGATTTATATATAAAAGCAAATAATAATGATATGGTTTGAATAGGTAAATTAAAAATTTTTAAGTTCTTAGACCACATTCATTCTGTGTCAGAAACCTATGCTGTGTCAAATATTTAATCACAATCTAAATTCAGTGCTGTATCAAGCTTGAATATTGTGTCCATACTTGCCCCAACTGTTCAGGGTTCGACCTCTGCGTTCGTATCAAGCTGCGCCCAGCGGAGCATTTTATTTATTCCGTTATCGTATATAAAGGATGTGTTTCTATTAATTTGACTGCTTTTTATTTTATTATCGTATAAAAGGACAACTTTTTTTTAATTATAATGTTTTTATTTCATTATAAAATTGAGAATGGAAATGGGGAATGTGTCAAAGAGACAACAACCCGACCATAGGACAGACAACAGCAGAAGGTCACCAACAGGTCTTCAATGCAGCGAGAAATTCCCGCACCCGGAGGCGTCCTTCAGCTGGCCCCTAAACAAATATATTATGCCTGTTAAAAAATGAGTTTCTATAAATTTCACTACTTTTATTCCATTATCGTATTAAAAGACAAACTTCTATGAATTTCAATTATTTTTATTCCATTTTCTATGTATGAAAGACTGTAAAGATACTTGACAAAATTATAGGACCGATTTTTGCACAATTGGAGCTACAAAAAAAATGTATATTATACCTTTGTATTATTTTATTGGAATATGTTTGTGACAATTCAACTTTAATAAAAAAAACACTTCATAAAAAGATTTCAACAATGTTATATACTGTGCATCTATTTTATATTTTTGTGGATACCAATTTTCTAGATTGAGAAAAAATTGTGTTTTCTTTGGTATTTGATTTCATACAAACCTATATATAGTAAATATGTACTTTGTTAACCTATACCCATAAAATCCATGAAAATTGGTATACCAAGAAAAGTCAATTATAGCGATGAATCCACAGTACTTTAAATGTATGATGGTTTGATATTACAGCTTTTCTATAAAAGCATGCAAAGCAAACCTTTAATCAACTTGCTTGCTATGTTTGTTTGGATGTTTGTAAACAACAGGTAGGTAGTCTATTTTAGTCTGTTTACTATATACTGGAATTTGATTGGACAATAAACATTAACTTCATTTAAATGTCAAGTTTCACATTGTATGTCAATTTTTATTGTCCAATCAAATACCAGTATATATTAAACAGACTGAAACTCCGCCTACCCTTTTGTTTACAAACATCCAAGCAAACATAGCAAGCAAGTCGATCAAAGGTTTGCTTTGAATGCTTTTATAGAAAAGCTGTAACAGGGTATTTTTTATGAAATCCATTACACATTGGATGAATGTATTAGTTTGACTTAGTTTTAAGGTGTCGATTCTTTATTCTAAAATTAATGTCAGTTCTAAATAACTGAATTTCTGAATTTTAAAGCATTTGTTTTAAGTTACTGAAAGGTTATACCAGATATGTAGTTTTCTTCAAAGTTTTCTATTTCTATTACTACAGCAATTTGTTAAAACAAAATAATAGCATTATTGCCTTATGCTGACCTTCAATTTAGTTATATAAAGCTGGATTATTTATTACTAGTATATTTTATTATAGATTGACCCAAATAATATATTATAAAAGAATAAGGATATTTAACGTAGGTCTGATGCTACAGGAAAATAATCAGAATTTCAACTGAAGGAAGTTTTAGGAAAAACCTTTGTAGTAAATAGCTATATTCTATATGTGGCAGGTTTTAAGTGTCATGAGGACATAATTCATAAATGATACAAATTTAGATTCATTGTTTTATTTTCACTACTCTTTTTGGTAATCAAACTTACAAATTTATGGAAAATCTTGTGTGCTCTTTAATGATGGTGTAGGAAAAATTATCTCCCCTTTGATAAAAGCAGGGCTCTATTTTTGTAGCAACAAAATGGATGCCCTTCATTGAAAACTGGAAAGTATCACTGCACATATGTGAAAACAGAAAAATGAAAATGAATAATTCTTGAATCACTAGTACAAATGTTTTTTTTTTATTTCATATCAAATTTTCTACTGTAATGAGGACTTTATAAGTCTTTAACTTACAATTTGGTAAATAATATATTTTAGCAATATTGTTGTTATATACTCAAGTCTGCAATAATCTGTAGAAAACCCATTTGACACTTAACCTCAATTATGAGAATATTAGAAATTGAAAATATTTGATGTTAAATTGTAACTTCTATAATTTATGTACATAGCATACATATTTGAAGCATTTATAAAAATAAAGCATTGAAGTGCCAGTATTTTTGTTGTTTACTACGGCAAAATTTAGGGCATCTTCTGAGGTGCTTGGACAGGTTGGTGTCTATGAATGTGTGTGTTTGTGTTTATACTCCTCTCAGAGTCATAGCTATACCATTAAATACATATATGGGTTAAACAATTTTCTTGCAATTGGTCATATGTCAAGTTAAAATTGAATCTTGAGATATTTAAAATTATTATTTGGTATTGGAATCAATTGGTGACACAGTTTTGCTTAGGATGACTTTACACTTTAGATTTACCCATGTTCCATCTGAACAGTCAATCTTGGTTTCAACATCTGGTTTCCTAGTAGCCTGCTCAATTTCAGTGTAGGCTGTGATTGGTTCCAACCCGGCTGGGTAAAACCAAAAACAATGTAATTAGTTCTTGCTACTTCTCCACCACTCATTTAGGAGTTAGAACAAAACCAGGTCAATTCCGAAGTCAGAATAATATGTCTGATTAGGATAATGCATCTTTCTGAGGACTTTAACCTTATGAATAGCATGGGATAATCTGACTCAACATGTCTGTATAGTACAAAGCAGGATACTTTGAATTCATTAATGTTCGTGGTTGTAGACTTTTGTAAGACCACAAAGTCAAATATTCAAAAAATTAAAGAACCTTCTCATATACCCCATGCCCCCAAATTGTCACTGGGCAAACAAAATCACCAGATTCCTAAGTTCAAAGACTCATAACTCCAACAAAGTCAACTGATAAAAAATTCTTGAGGATATGCACATCTACATATTATGCCCTACAAAGTTTCTTGAAATTCTGTTGTGTGGTTCCAAAGGAGTTGCGCTGAAAAAGTGTTGCAGTAGAATATAATGGCCAAAATTTTAAATTTAAAGGGGCATAACTCCTAGCAAAAAAATGTAATCATAATTTCCTGTCAATATGCACATCTGCATAGTATGTGTTTTTTATCTACAAAGTTTCATGAAATTCTGTTGTGTGGTTTCAGAGGGTTGAGATGACAAGAACAGGACTAACGGACTGATGGACGGACAGATGTACGGGTCAAAAACTTTATACCCTATGCAACTTTGTTTCATGGTTTATAGATATAATTTTTCCTTAAACCACAAAAATTAATTCTCACAAAAATAAATGAATCCACAGTATATTAAAATATTTCATTAATAAGATGTGAATGTCCTGATTATGCATGAAATATTTACACAAGGACCTTGAAAGCAGCCATTAGTCAATCATTTGATGAATTTAAAGATACATTCTTATATATTACCCTGTAAGTTTTATTATCTTTATTATTGATGTGTAATGAGCCAAAGAAGGTTACCATTTCAGCACTAATTTTATCACAGAAATCAATTTATCATTCTCAAATTACTTGTATCTGTTCGATTGAGGAATAATTATGATAATCATTTTAATCATTTCTATAATTATTAAGTCAATGAACTGTGTGGAGAACTGATTACAAACATTTACATAATAGTTATCCCATGAGGACGCGGTGTGTCAGTGTAAGATCATCCCGAAGGCCGGAGGGTGATCTTACACTGAAACACCAAGTCATAGTGGGATAACTATTTTACATCCCAACTCTTCTAGACTATATGAAAAAAATATTTACGCTTCATAACATCTAGTTCAGAATGCCATACAATGATTATAATATACTTTATATATTACTATATAGTATATACCCTTTATGAGCCCCGGTTACAATGTTTAACTATGTTAAATTAACAGTAAGTTTGTATCCAGTTGTCCT